CACAAAGAAACAAGCCACATCAGAGACACCAGGCAAGGGTGGTCTGGGTGGAAAGAGCTGTGTGTGCAAAGGGCCTGAGACAGGAACATAATTGATTTGCTTAAGGCTTGGGTGAGCACACAGTGTAGATGGAAGCTAGTTAAAAAGGGGAGAATGGCCATAAGACAAGACGGGACATTGACTAGTCAGTACCATCCACTGTGGGATTAAGAAAAAGGACATAGTCAAGGGCTGGGAATACAGCTCAGTCATCGAAGGACTTACCTTGCAAGTGTGAGGACCCCAGTTTGAGATCTAGACCCCACATTAACAAAGGCAAGTGTGGTGCTATATACTTCTAATCCCAGCTCTGCAGAGGCAGGGACAGGCAGATCCTAGGGCTCAAAGCCAGCCAGTCATTCCTCTTGATGAGTACCAGGCCTAGTGAGAAATCCTGCCTCAAAAACAAACAAACAAACAAACAAACAACAACAACAAAAAAAAAACAAGGAGAATTGTGCCTGAGGAATGACACCTAAGGCTCTCCTCCATTCTCTACACATGTGTATATGGATTCCCCCCACATGTATGCATCTATACACACATGAAGAAACATACTTGCACACACAACACACACACACACACACACACACACACACACACACACACCATATATATACAAAGAAATACACTATCAGATCAAATTTCTATTTTCCAATGAAGAACAATTTCTCTGAGAACTTAGCTAGAAACTCGATTCACATCTGTTACTTACAGCAGCCAAAAGATGAGGAGACTCCTATTGTTCACCTAAAAGTAATGGAGAAACAGGATCTGGTATGTACATTCAATAAGGTGTTATTCAGTCATGAAAAGGAAAAGCCTGTGGTGTAGGCTACAGCATAGATGAAACTTAAAGATAAGGTGCTAAGTGAAGCAAGCTAGACACAGGTTAGATAAGTGTGAGACTGCACTCAGAGGAAGCTTTTAGAACCATCAGATGAACAGAGACAGGAGTAGCCCAGGGGCTAGGGGTATATGTGTGGTGTTACTCTGTGATAGGTATGAAGCTTTTGTTTGGGGTAATGAAAACATTCTGGAAACAGACAGCGGTGACGGTTGTGTGATGTTGGGGATGGATGCACTGAATGCTACTGTTCACTTCAACACAGCATGGAACAGCTTGTGTTCTGCCCATCTTAGAACGATAGCAACCTATCACATAAGCTGTCCAGTGAGTGGTCTGTGGATGTATGGAAGGAAGAATGCAGGAAGGCCAATGTGGGCTTCTTCAGATGGCTGTGCCTGGGTCTTGAGTGGTATCAGCAGAGATGCTGCAAAGTGACAGCTTGGAGGTCTGTTGGTACGCAAAGAGCTGATTGCTGCCAGATGCACAGAGGTGGTAGAAGGTGAAGGTCTCATGAGATAGGTCTTGACTTGAGGCACAGGTACATAGCATTATCTTTATGTTTAGAGAGAAATAGCTGGAGTGTCAGTGGGGACAGTAATATTATTCTTTTCTAGTGCCACCCAAGAGGAGTGTGGCATCTTAAGAAGACAGATTTGGGCTCAATTTTGAAAAAGATAACCAAACAATTTAAGTTACAGTTGTGTAGCTTGGTCCTCTTGTAGGACTCCTAAAAGTGGAAGCAGGGGCTGTCTCTGACTCTTTTACTGGCTTTTGGGACCCTGGTCCCTCATAGTGGGTCACTTTGCCCAGCCTTAATACATGGGGAGGTGCTTAGTCTTACTGCAACTTGATAGGCCATGTTTTGTTGATACTAATGGGAGACATTCCCTTTTCTAAACAAAAAGGGAGGAAGAGTGGATTGGGGGTGGGAACAGAGTGGAGTGAGAGGAGGGGCTGGGAGGAGAGGAGGGAGGGGAAACTGCAGCTGGGATGTAAAATAAATAAATAAATAAGAAAAAATTAAGCAAACAAAGCTATCTTTCTAACATCAGCTGTGATCATGGATGAGGGATATATAGGAGTCAGGACTGACTCCCCATCACTGAGGCTGCTATAGAGATGTATGTGGATGAGGTTACCCCCAAGAGCTCCAGAAACCATCACTGACCCTCACCTGAGCCTCTGGCAACTCTGTTAGTTATGTTCTCATTGCTATGATAAAATACCCATAACAAGTCACTTAATACATGGAGGGTTATTTTGGCTCACAATTTGAAGGCACAAGCCATCACGGTAGGACAGGCATGGTGGTGATAGTGTGAAGTGTCTGATTTCGAGTCTTTTTTTTTTCAGGAAGCAGAGAGAGATGAAGTTGGTACCCAGCTCATTTCCTTCTTTTTCTTCAGTCCAGGACCCTGGCCCGCAGAATCAATAGTGCCACCAATATCTGGGGTGGGTCTTCCTTCCTCAGTTAAATCTTTCTGGAAACTCTCTTAGACATACCAAGAGGCATGTTTCCATGGTGATCCTAAATCCAGTCAAGTCGATAGTGAAGCTCGATGATCATAGGGGCCTTTGGAAATGGATTATCAGTGCACATTGACACAGAGGTCAGAGATGATTGCAAGTCAAAGGTGGTCAATGGGTCAAAGAGGGAGTTTCTGTGTTCCATCCCACCCCTGGTCCTTTCCTTTCCTCCCCTTACTTCTCCTTCCCTCCTCTCTTTTCTGAGTGAAAAGAAAATAGCCTCCCAGTGGGTGTGTGCCCTGGTCAGTGTTGGTTTTAAATGAGAGAAAGGTCACAAGGCATGACAAAACCCAGTATCAGCGCTTTATGGGGGGGGGTTGGACAGAAGACAGTGACCAGGCCTGTGAAAGACACATGCAGGGAGAGAGACAGTGGAGGAGGAGGAGAGAACAGAAGAGAGGGGAGGAGTCTGTGACAGACTTTTTAATGATTTCCCTGCACATGTGCATGTGGTCTTACGGAGCTATGCCATGCATGTGCAGACTGCATAATTACTCAGCGCACTGATGATGTAAGATCCCTTGCTTAGCTACTGAACTACGCATATGCGGTCACGCAGCTGGAGGAGTGGTAGAATCCTAACAGCCAGGGCCCGGGAAGCTTGATGATGTGAGGTCAGCTGATCATTTTAGATTTGAACTGGAGCCCAGGAATGCTTTCGCTTCTCCTTCTCAGCCAGGTCCCAACTCCAGGGTCTTGCAGATAACACAGATTTCCTAACATATCATCACAGGCAGCTTCCTCGGCTCAAATCACTTCCTGCTGTGTACCCATAACACACAGATTGGAGGTAACTTCACTCCAGAGAACCAATTAGCAAAGACCCAGGCTGGGTAATTACAGTTTGATAAGGTCCTACCAGCCTATAACCAGCACAGACGAAGTGCTCGGAAGCCATCTCTCCACAGGTCGGGGGAGCCGGGGGACTGCAGTATCACCCCACTCTTCTGCTCTCTCTGCTCTTGGCCCTCCGACCCCTGCCTCTTCCAAACTTTAAATTGGCTCCTGAGAATAGGGGGTAAGGAGATTAAAGAGACACTTGGGGTCAGAGGTCAGTGCTATTCAGGACTGGGGTTGGGGATGAGGAACAGACCCAGTTACCAAGCAAACAAACTAGCCTGAGTGGATGGGTGAGGAAGAGACCCATATGCCATACTCAACATACAGGTGTGGGCCATGGCATTCTCTCAGGTGTGGCCCGAGTGTCCCTCCATTGGCCCTCTGGCCCTCTAGGATCTTCTCCCCTGTGACCTTTGAACTTGTGGCGAACAGAGACTGTGTGAAGTGGCTCCTTTTGGTTGTCCTGTTTGAAGTCATCTTTTCACTTTCCCTGCACCACCATTTCCACATCCTCCCCTAAGGCCTTCTTTAATACACTCTACATGCTACAGCCCAAAGGAGGGGTTGTTCCCAAACACAGATGCAGCAGTGGCACTCCCCTGCTTAACTGCCCCGTGCCACTGGGGCAGTATATTAACACAGCGTTAGCAAGGATGTGTTTTTTCCCTTGTCTCAGATTTTTTTTTTTTAAAGAAACAAAGCATTGCCGGCCTCATATGCTGTTCTTCATGCCTTGTTTTCTTCTCCAAGGTTTTCAGTGGTCAACCTCCCTTCAGTGACTTGAATTCTTATTTTTTTTTTAAACTACTGAACAATGTAGTTGATTCCTATTTTGAGTGTCTAGTTCCTGAGCCTGAGCACAGATATAGACAGAACATTTTCACAATCAGAATAAAAATAATTCAGTCGCTCCCCAACCTGCGCCGTACTGTCTCTCTTTAGAGTCACGCTTCCCCCATCCCTTTGTCCCCGGCATGAAGCGATCACTTCTACACCACTGGAGTTTTCTATCAAAGAGATGGATAAATGGAATTGCATGATATGTAGCCTTTGGATTCCATCCAAACTGTGACGTGCATTGGGGGTTTCTCTTGTATATGCCTGAGTTGTGTTTCACTGTTGGGAAAGAACGTGCAGTAGAGTATCCACTTGCTTTCAGTGTTCTGTGTCGTTGACATTTGTGCATATTGCTTTCTCCTGGGGACAGTTCTCCCTCCTCCTTTTCTGTCAAACTCCTTGTTCTTCTTCAGACACCAGTCTCCTTTGGAGAGACCTCCCTGGACTCTAGACTGGATGAACCTTCCCACACCAGGTGTCCCTGCCTGCCCTTTCCTTCCACTGTGAACTTGTATCTCATCCTTCTAAGTAGTTGTTGGCTCGATTGTCTGAGTTCTCTATAAATTTCCAAGCTTTTCTGGGCAACTGTAGCAATGACGGCTGTGTTTCTATCAACTGGTAAGTGCCAACAAACTTATTGGATGAATGAATACCGTATTTTCTTTAGCATCCCTGTGGTAATTCAAATGAGAATGACACCCATAGATTCATATACTTGAATGTTTGGTTCCCAGTTGTTGGAACTGTTTTGGGGAGTATTGGGGGTGTGGCCTTGTTGGAAGGGGTGTGTCACTGGGGGTGGCTTTCAGATGATCCATGCCATTCCCAGTTAATTTTCAATCTCTCTCTCTCTCTCTCTCTCTCTCTCTCTCTCTCTCTCTCTCTCTCTCTCCAACTTGTGGACCAGATGTAAGCTTTCAGCTACTGCTCCAGCGTCATAGCATCATGCCTGCTTGTCTGTTGCTGTGCTTCCCGAAGTGGTGGCCATAGACTCACCCGCTGGTGAGTCCTCCAATCAACTCTTTCTTCTATACGTTGCTTTGCTCATGGTGCTTAGTCACAGCAGTAGAAAAGTACCTCAGCCTTCACAGCTTCAACATTCAGTAACCTGCATCCCGTGCCTCCGGGCTAATCTGAACGAGGGTGTTTGTCTCTCAGAAGATGCATGACGCATGTATTCATTCTGTTCTTGTGTGTGTTGCGTAGGCTTTCCTCTTATTTTTAATCACTAGTCTCTTCATAGCAAGAAAAAGAAGTCGAGAATGCTTGTAATGATGACACAGTATCATAGGATGGTTGGGTTAGAGTGGAGTGCTCAAAGAATAAGAATAGAAGACTTAAGAAAAGCTAGATGTAGAAATCCATGCCTTAAAGCCCAAGCTTCCTAGCAACCAAAGACAATGGGAAAGTAAGCTATCAGTAACAAATTTTGCATTGTCCCTAGGTAAAAGTTACACCTGTTGCCTTGGAGGAGATAAACCTGAAGTCATCTCCTGATGACTTCAAAATACAACACAGAGATCTACGAGGCAATTTTTATTTTTTTTTATTTTATTTTTTTTTTAAAGATTTATTTATTTATTATGTATACAGCATGTTTGACAGCAGTCCAGAAGAGAGCACCAGATCTCATTACAGATGGTTGTGAGCCACCATGTGGTTGCTGGGAATTGAACTCAGGACCTCTGGAAGAGCAGTCAGTGCTTTTAACCTCTGAGCCATCTCTCCAGCCCCCGAGGCAATTTTTAAAAAAGGCCTTTCTTACATTAAAGGCAAATCTAAACTCACGTAGATTTTCCTTCAAGCTTCAGTGCAAACTTAAAACAGTATGCCTAAACACAAGCCAGCAAATCTCCTTTTACAAAAAGCCAAAACCACTTGGTCCAGAGGCACAGCTCTGACTGTCTGCCTTGATCCAGGGATAAAATCTAGTACACCTATAGTAGTAGATGGGCTGGGTGTCCTTCAGATAATCCTCCGAGAATATTATTTCTTACACTCAGGCTTTTCCTGACAGCCAGCAATAGACAGTTTGAGTGTATGTTTCCTGTCGAGGATGTAGAACATTGGCATTCTGCGCTGTCAACATGGGGTAGCCCTACACCCTTTGCAAATCAGCCAAGCAGCAGCAGCAGCAGCAGCAGCAGCAGCCGCAGCCGCAGCAGCAGCAGCATCCTCTTATGAGATCCAGTTGCTATTTGCCCATCACATTCATCCTAGAGGGCCACCCACATCCTAAGGGTCACAGAGGGGAGCTGAGGCCTCTCCTCCCCACTTTCACGCTCCAGGTATATGCAATACCAGGAAGATCTCTTTGGAGAATTTTGGCTCACTTTCAAGAACATTTGGAAAAGAGAACATCAAGAGCATTTCCAATCCCAAGATTAAATATGCAGAAGAGGACAGAGCATTAGCTACCTTGGGGACACAGTGAGCACTCCTATGAAATGCAGTCTTTATTGCATTTCAAACTGGAAGAAGGCTGGGCGAGACTTCCCATCACCCCATTTTACAAATGACACAAAGACACTCAACAGGTCAGATAGGCTGCCTGAAGCCACTTGGCATGTAGTTAAAACAAAACAAAACAAAAACCCACCTCAAATCCTGTGCTCTTTGCAATTCCTGTTAACGATACTAACATATTAGAATCCTACATGCTAATGTAGGATAACAATTTCCTGGAAAAATAAAAGAGACAACCCTTATCTTTAGAGCTAGAAGTGGGGGTTTCCAGCTCAAATAAAAGGATTTGAAGCTATTTCTGCCAGAGAGTTATGAGTCATAAGTACTGGCCACCAGCAGAGACTCTGGGATTTTCTTACTTATAACCTTTAAAAATGTAAGGGCTGTTTTTGGCACTGGAGAAATTGGGGGGGGGGGGGAATATCTGATTCAGAGGCACCCGAGTCTTCCTTGAGCTTTCTCCTGCCTCCAACAGCATTTTTCTACAGCCAAGTCTGGGCATGTGAGGACCACCAGCCCGCAGGCCTGCTGGCCACTTACTCACTCTCTCTGGCGGGTTGCACTTGTTGTGCAGCTTTATCAGAGTCTCAGCAGGAGGTATTTGTCACTTCAGAGAGTGCAGATGAGGGGCTGTGATGAAGGGACAAGTCACAGAGGTGTGAGCAAGCGAAAGGAGCCAGTGAAGCACGGTGAAGATCAGGGACCAGAAACACGGGGACAGACAGAAAGAACAGGGTGGGACTCCAGAGAAGGGGACTGTGGAAGTGAGGATTCTGCTATCAAGGAACCTTCTCCCTTCTGTCTGTCTGTGATCTCTGTGAGGCCTCCATTGGCCAGACCCAATGAGAGCATGGCAAGTGCAAGAGCCAGAGGTTGGTCCCCTGGGCTCAGGTCAGAGGGCAGGTGGAGGAGAAGGGATCAGAGCAGGCCAACATCAAGTGAAGGATGACCAGCTCAGTGGGAGCAAACCCCACACAGCTGCTGCTTTCCTCTGACTTGGGAGAATCCAGATGCCAAGCATAGGAACAAAAGGGATACCCACAATCACCTTAGCAGTGGATGCTATGGAGAAAAGCAGCCTGAAGAGAGCTAGGGGTGGGCAGAGAAGTAGCTGAGGAGGTACCTCCATGCAAGGACCCATGGTTGATCACCGAGGTCTTGGTGAACTTATCCCAGCAGAGAGAGAGAGAGAGAGAGAGAGAGAGAGAGAGAGAGAGAGAGAGAGAGAGAGAAGTTCTCATCAAAGAAAATGGTAGGGTGGGGCCAGAAGGGAAGGCAGTTGGTTCCACGTTGTCCCCAGACACAACTGTCTGAAGGACAAGGCCTGCCTTTGGTTTGCTGCTACTCCACTGTGGCACTCACTTACAAAGGGAGAAATGTCTTAGAGGCCCCAGACTCAGCCCAGCCCAGAGCTTCTGCCCAGGACGCTTGGTTTCTGCTGTTCGCAGCAGCATGTCCAGCCTCACACACCATGACAACAGACTCACTGTGATGAGGAGGCTTCGGAACTTACTCAGTGAGAGACAAGCATGGGGAAGGCAGGCCGCTGTTACCAACTGCCAGGCAGTGACCCAGAAAATGCTGCAGACTCTGGAGGCTTCTCCCCAAGAGCTGGAAGAGAGTGGCAGCTGGTGGACAGTTGGCAGAGCACCCACACTCAGCCAGGATTCTCTCAAGTGGTCTTAGGGCTCTGGAGTTGGCTATAAATGGTATTTTGAAGGACTCACACTGTCTTCCCTGTCTCCCCTCCTTCCCTCCCTCCTCCCTCACACACACACACACACACACACACACACACACACACACACACACACACACACACCTCATTTCCCTTCCCTCTCCCTCCCTTAGAAGTGCAAAATTCTATATTGTGTGAAGCAGAAATACAGAACTAATATATACAGCTGTTCTGGGAGGACTTCCTGGAAGAAGTGACTTTTAAGTTAAGATAGAGTAAGAGTTGGCCTGGGAAAGGGAACATCAGGTTAACATCTCAACCAGACACGAGGGTCACGACAGTCAAAACAAAGAGGCGGGGGATGTAGTGGTTTGACTAAGAATGTCTTCATGGGCTCATGTATTTGAATGCATAATCCCTAGTTGGTGAAACTCTTTTGGAAGGATTAGAAGGTGTGGCCTTGTTGGAGGAGGTGTGTAACTGCGGAGAGCTTTGAGGTTTCAAAAGCCCTTGCCATTCCTGGTTAACTCTTTCTCTGCCTCATGATGGTGTCTCAACATGTAAACTCTCAGCTCCTGCTCCAGTGCCATGACTGCCTGCCACCATTTCCCCATCATGAGGGCCACTGACTCACCCTCAGAAATTGTAAGTCCCCATTAACCTTTTTCTTCTGTAAGTTGCCTTGGTTGTGATACCTTTTGTCATGGCAATTGAAAAGTAATTAAAACAGGAGAGGAGGGTGGATGGGGAATAGGAGAAGGGGGAAGAGGAGTAAGAGAAATGAGAGAGGAGAAAGAGAAGGGAGAGGAAGTGGGTGGGGGAAATGAATGGAGGAGAAGGAAAAGGTAAGAAGGAGAGGTAAGGAAGGGGAAGGACAAGGGGAGGAGAGTGGGAGGAAGTGAGAAGAAGCTCAGAATGGCCAAAACATAAAGGTGGAGAGATCCTGAAGAGGACGCAGAGAGGGCTGGGGAGGCTTACCCTCGCCAATATGAGCTCCTGACTGGAAAGTTTGTGATCTCTCTTATTTCAGGAGTGCTTTAGAACGTGTAAAAAGCCTCTTTGTCCTATGTCATGGGATTGGAGTCAGAGCAATGGGCCTGGGACAGAAACTCACCACTCAGCAATCTGTTGGACGGTACACCACAGCCAAAGCCCTAGGAGGATGTGTGGTACTCCTATCTCTGGGTTGAGAGTCATCTGTCACCACTGACCATTGCTGCTGTCCTCTCTGGGGTGACCTGCCTCAGTAACCAGCTCTAGCTGTGTCAGGGGCTGTGAGAGGGGACCAACAGGCAGCAGTGGAACTCATGGCACATGCCTGGGTGGTAGGCAAAACCACTCCTGAGTGAGCCTTGGAGTGGCCAAACCCCAAGGACTAGGTGTACTGAGAACCTCATGATGTTATTGAGCATAGCTCTGATTGCTGTCTTTGTGGTCACCACAGCCCTCATAATCTGTGGGGTGTATGAAAACTCCCAGGGAGTTTCTAGTCCCTCACTGGGTAATGTTACTGGTACTTAACAATAATAGTGATTGACTTTCCAAGAATTGCTGCTGGAGCAGATTAATGCTTCAACTACAACCCTTAGAAAGAATTTAGACGTGTAGAATTGTTAGTAAGGTTAGGTTAAGATGTCTTTGTTAATTAATTTGAGGTAGAAAATCTTGGGGAAAAATTTAAAGTTTAGAAAGACACAGTTTTAATAGTTAAAGAAGGGACTCATTGAGGTCAGGTGACAGGAAAAATGGCAGCCTGGCTATTGCTGACTGATGTACCTTTCTTGCTAGGTTGGTTGGTGATCAAAGGTGATGATTAACTCCTTGTACCTATGTCTGCATTCAGCTTCCTGATATAAAAAACTGTTGACAAGTGGGTATGCATCCTGAGGATTTAATATAGAGTTGACTGGTTGTTTTTCAAATATAAATGTTTAGATTTGTGATTCTTTTAAGATTTTTTATAAGATTACCTTTTGAGATAAATGATAAAGTAATTGATCCTTTCTTTGTAACCGCAAAATGCAGCCTGCCAGTAAAAGAACTGGCTGAGAAAAGTATCTTGCTTGCTTACACTCTGTTAATCTCTAACAAGTCCCTTGGACATGAATGTATGTGGGTTCTTGGAGATAATTTGTTTTTCACCTATGATTCGTAAAATGTTTAATCATGTAAGAAATAGGGAAAACACGTTGTTTTTTTGCTTGTATCATTGCAATCATTCATTTAAAAAATAGAATGTAACCAAATCGTAATTTTTATACTGCTTGAAAGATTTTCCTGGGGTATACAAGCTGTGAGGGAAAAAATAAAGTTAGTTAGAAGGAAGACATCAAAAAAGGTACAGAAGAGATACATCTGGATAGAAGTATAAAGAGATAAGAGAAGATGATGGAGAGACCCTAAAAGTGTGTGTGTGTGTGTGTGTGTGTGTGTGTGTGTGTGTTCCCTTTTTCGCTGCCCCTAGAAAGTTAAGTTTTACCCCTGTCACTGGCCCCAGAGAATTAAGTTTTAGTCTCTCAGATAGAAAAGTCAAGTTGAGAGATTAGTCCGCCAACTCTGTGGATCCCCCTCAATCCCTGAGCTGCCAAAGGCCGTCCAGTCCCCAGCCTGCAGACTGGATCTCAATAACCAAAAAAACCAATCTACTGCTAACTAGCCCTGACCACACTTGTGTGGGTGTGTGCATACTCAGCCACCACAAGGCCCTGCCCAGCGCCTGGCTGTGTGCCCCAGGTGGGCTCCTGACACACCTCAGTACTGCTTGGTCTGGTTTTCTCTTCCTGAGCTGATCAGAGATTACAGGTTTTCAAACTGGTAAATCTCACCTTGTGGTCATTTTGCACTCTTGGCTATCCCATCTCACCAGGCTTCTCCTCATGACTCTTTTCCTCACACTTTTGTAATGTGCCTCTGTTCTCCTGCTCCCTGGTTCTAGCAGCTATGTGGTCTTAACTGAGCTCTCTAGCCTTCCCAGACCCTGTTTCTTTTCACCCTTTCCCTCTCTGCTCCTCCTCTTCTCTCCTGACAGGGCTTCCACTCACTCCAGAGATTGCTCCCACAGCTACACTTCCCCGAAGACAGGAGGCCCAGACCTCAGGGAATCTGGCACAGGAGGGCTTGGATTTGTCCCCAGACCTCCACCTCTAGGAGCTAAAGGGCGGAGAAGGCTTCAGAACTCAACTGCCTTTGCACAAGGGAGTAGGGAGAGGAGGAGGGAGACCTGGACTCTGCAGGAAAGAGCAGCTATTAGTCACCAGAGGGAGAAAAGAAAAGGAATTGGTCAAACAGCAGGTGGTCCAAGCAAGCTCACACAGCCCAAATCAGCCCTGAATTTAATAAGGGATGAGAACGAGAGGCAGTGACGGAAAGACATGACACTGCTTCGGTCTGGTCCCCCTCCTCCTTCTCCTCCTCCAGTCTATGGGGAGGAAGAAAGGTGAGTGGCAGACATGTGGGATGGAAGCTGTCTGGGAGTCTCCGTAGAGACCGAGGGAGGGAGGGAGTGGGGAGCAGGTGTAAGTAGTCGTCAAGAGCTGCTCGCAGTCCTTCTGAGCCTCTCCACAGGTACCCTTTGCATCCCTGTGAAAAGACGAAATCCTTTTTGGCAGACTGCAGTCTTTCCTCCAGGCCTTCCCTTCTGATACACAAGAACAAACACTATTTAAATAAACTTGCCAGTAACCGGCATCACCTTTAACTTCCAGGCTTCGTGTAGGTGCTGGGAGCTGTGTGGCTGTTGCCTGTCCGTAGGATAGGACCACCTGGGACTTGAATCAAAGCAGCTGGGATTCCTGCCCAGCATGAGACTTTTGTGAGATCGTATAACTGGAGATTTCAGGGTGAGATGCTTGGTCCCAGCAGCTCCAATAGGCCCTTGACCTCTCATATCCAATTGGCCAATAAACAGAATCCATGATGGAGAAAAACAGCAGAAGGAGGTTTATTTAATGTGGCCCCCATGGGAAGAAGAACAAAGAAGGGTCAAGTGACCCTGAATTCATCTTTGAGAAGTTGACCTGGGACATGGCAAGGGGGTAAGGGGTCTGCATAATTAAGCACCCTGGGCAGGGTGTGGTCAATTCCGGTTCTGGAAGGCCATCTTGTCTTCACTGGAGGGAAGCATTCTGATTCTCAGGAGATGATCACTTCTGCTTCTGGGTCTAGCCTTAGCATTGTAGATAATCATCCCGGGCCCATTTGGATGTAGTCTCCTGCAGGGTTGTCCTCTGCTTGGAAGTCGTTGGAGTCCTGTGGTGCTGTGATACTGTGAACATATCTCTTACATTCTAAGAGACTGGATCTTTAGCTGGACCTCACAGCTGAGTTGATGAAACACCCTGGGGTTGCCATCCCTGTGTACTCGGCCGGTTTGTTTAACCTGCCTCTAAGAGAACAAGGTAACAGGCAACCTTACTTGCCTTGGATTTCCTCTGTAATCAACTTTTACAACCCAAGCTAATGCATAGCTGTAATCTTAAGTTATGTACTCTCCCATGCCCCTGATCCAGAGTAATGCATGTGTGTTATGATAATCATTTGCTGGAAACAGCAAACAGGCAGGAAGCAGCCTTATAAAATGAATATCCATCATAAATACTGGAAGCAGCATTCCGATATTGCTTGATAGCATTTGTTTGTTTGTTTGTTATCTGGGTCAGTCGAAGTCAGTGACTTAATCCCTTGTAAAATCTGTTAAAGATTTCTATAAAGTATCTCTCATTCTCTCCCCATGGGATCCTTTCTGTGCTGTTCAGAAAAAGAGAGAGGAAAGCCTTTTGTTAGGGACAGACACACAGACACAGGCACAGATACAGGGACAAATTCACAAGACAGCCTTCAGGCAGGCAAAGACTCAGACTCACACAACAGATAGACAAGGAGGGCAGAGGACACACGGAGAGTGAACAGAGAGTTCAAATCTGGATTAAATGATACCAAGAGAAAGAACCTGCTTGGACTCATTCCTTAATGTGGCATTATTGGTGGCTCTGAGTTTATTATTGGTGTGTCCAAACCATCCACAGAGTCCCATGGCACAAAGATGTTTATCCTGAAGTTCAAGGTGATGCGAGAAGAAAGAGTAAGGAGACAAGAGCAGAGCCAGAGGGACAAGCTGGAGTGAGTTAGGCCAGAGAGAGATCTGTGCCCTCCTTAAGTCAGGTCTCTCAGCATTCCATCATGCAGGGAGGTTTACGGGACTCAGGAGCCTTCACCAGATCCTCATGAGGCTGCTCTGTGTAGCAATATGAGAAGTAAGCAATCTGCTAGGGTGGGCCATTTGCATAAAGCAACTGTCCTTCGATTGCTCAAGGACTCTTCACGGATGTAGAGGTCTGGAAGTCAGCTTCCTAGTGGTGTAACTGCCTTTGAGTTCCCCCATCTTCCTGTAAGTAAGCCTCACAAACTCTTCGGTTCACCAAGCTGGGCTTGGGTGGGACCTTTGCTCTGCCTGTGCCTCTCTACTGCCACAAAAGAGAATGCATGGCACGGATCAGAGGTGAGCAATGGGTAGACCCAGAAGAGGCACATTTGCACAGAATTCAAACTGGTGCCAAGTAAAACCAATGCCTACAAAACCCTTCAGTAGTTCAGCTCTCCCGGAGCCGAGTTCCAGGACAGCTTCATAGAGCACTGCCAGGAACAGGGTTAGAAAGGAAGTGTGACACAGATAGACAAAGGGAGGGGAATTGCAGCAGGGAGATCACTGCAGCCTTAGAGTCTTTGATGGGCGTGTTGTTGTGTTTGGGGAAAATGAGGGCAAGAAGGAAAAAACAAACAAAACAACAAACAAACAAAAGCCCCAGGATTGACTGGCGGCCGATGCCCCCTTTTGCTCTCTGGTGAATGTGTAGGCTGCTCTACCCACCTGCTCAGTGTCATCTCCCCTCATCGCCTCCTTAAAACTCTCTCTCTCTGCCACTTGTGCCCTGACATTATCAACCATGAGCAATTCCTGGAATATGCTGTGGGTTCTGCCATCTGATTTAGAACTATTTTCTCTGACTTGGATTTTCCTTTCCCGTCTTTCTCACCAGGCTGACACATTTTCTAAAATCTTCAGGACAAGCCTATTCTAGAATGACTGGCTTGGTATGTCCCTCTTCCTTGGTTCAGAGTCAGGGACCCCTATAGTCTAGTCTCTAACACAATTGGGGTGTTTACAGACTGTATCATTTGTATGTCTTTGTCCCTACTAGGCTCACTCTTGATGAATGAGACTGGTCTTAATAGCTTTGTGTCCTTAAGGCCTGGCAGTTTTCAGCACACAGTAGGTATTTTAAAAATAAATATATGAGGAAATGTGGATGTGTCATTTAGCATCTTTCTATCTTAGAACCAGTAATCTAAATTTAGGAATTTATTCTAAAGAAATACCACAAATGAAGGAAAAGAGGCATGCGTGTGCAAATACTCATTGCAGAATTTTTGTTAGTGCAAAACCAAAAGCCACTTGGATGTCAAGGACAGTAAACTGAGTCACAGCCTGTAGTGTCACCATCGATGAGACGAACCCCTGAGACTGTGGAAAACGTGAAAGAAAAGTGGTCCCTACATAATCTACAGTTTTGAGAAATGGTACCTACCTTATATATTTATTCTGATTAGAATTACGTAGCACTAAAATCAAGGACTAAGAGAGAATATACACGATAAAGAAAATTAGTTGTCAGACTAGGTTTGGTTAACTAAAGTGATTCATTCTTCTTTCTCTTGCAATGCTGTTATTATAGTATTTGTGTGGAGAAAGGAAACAGAGGCTCGGTTCATGGGCCACCCAATCCTGGGCTCTGTCTCTAAGAGATGGAGCTTGAAGAATAGCTTGTCCTCCCATGAAACAGCCTCAGAAAACCTGTAGACAACTTCAAATGCTCCGACTCCTAGTGTGACCCTGGGAGCCACAGCGTACTCCAGCGTTCTAGTGCTGCTCACAGTGGTGCAGAGATGGGCTGGAGCTATTCTCAGCATCTCTGTCTCACCCCAACCCAGCCTTGTCTTTATAAATCCTCAAAGGTGCTTCCTCCCCCGACCTTTGTCACTGGTCATTGCCTAATCTTCCCTGTCCCTGCTCCTTATCTGCTGCAGCAACTGCAATGGCTGGCCAGTTATTTACCAAACATCACATGCCAGGCCAAGGGAACCAGCATCTCCATTTGTTACTGTTATTCTTGCTACATAAATCTGTCTGGTGCCCTAGAAAGCCATGCAGATCCAGGCAAACAAGCACGCTGGTCACCCTCCTACAAAGTTTCAGTATCTAGGCTAAAGTTAACATTCTGAGCCAGTTGAATAAATCCCTGCCCTTATGGAGCTTGCAGCCTAAAATATAGGAGAGAGCTGACCAAAAAAGCAACAGGCAATTTGTGCACGCTGCTACAAAACTGAGCACCAGGTACTATGAGTGCATAGAATAAAAGCAATGGGTTTTGCACATGTGGATGGGTGTTCACACAGGCACACATATGTATCTGAGTAGTGTGTGTGTGTGTGTGTGTGTGTGTGTGTGTGTGTGTGTGTGTGTAGTTCTTTAGGGCAGAGAAGGTCCGCAGAACAGTTGGACTCTGAAAGAAATGCAATCGCTACACAAGCAGACAAGGAGGAGTGCTTTGGAGTACCTCCTGGGGTCTTCTCAGGTCTTGCTTTCTATAGCATAGTGTGTGTGGATGACCAAAGGTTCTGTGTGTGATCCAGAAGCTGGTCTTGGTTGTCATCCGCACACTGGGTTTTCCACTTTTAATAGAATGGAGTGTAGACTCCAGACCTTGCTGTCCATCGTGTTTGCTGTAGGAGTGTTTAAGCTGGGAATCCAGACTGAAGGCTCTTCTCCCTGCTCCATGGCAGCCCTTGCACCTGTCGGCCTTCAAGTGGGAGAGCAGGAGGGGGGAGGACAGTTTGGGGTAGAATTGGGTTCCAGTGTTGACGCCCTAACCCCACAGTGTGAGTGTGCTGGGAAAAGAAGAAATGAAGATCAGCTGTGCTGTTAGGGTGGGGCCCTAACCTGATAGGACTTGTAGCCTTACAACAAAGGAGACTAGGAAATGTCTGTCTGCTCAGGCACAGAGAGAAAGGACCTGCAGACAGAGGGCACAAGTAGCTTTTCATACTGCTCACTGGGAATCAGCTCTTCCAAGGTCTGATTCTTAGACTTGCAAGCTCTGGAGAATACATTTCCATTGAGCCACACCCCCTGGGGTGTTCTGTGAGTGAGCCTAGCTAAGACAGGGCTGCTTTACTAGTTCCCAGTGTGCTCTCCCTAACCAATCAGCACACAGGAGCGGGGGTCTTAGGCTATGGATCCCCCATTGCAAAAAGTGGGGGGCCAGTCCAGAGGAGGTGAACAATAGAGAGCTAGTCATTTACAGAGGAACAGGAGAGAGGATGCCTTCGATATCATGAGGATGGAGCTGTGATCTTTTGGAAGAGACCACCTACCATCAGGCACGTGGAAGGGAACAGTAAGTTCTCTCCTCTTCCTCCCACAATCAGAACATTTGAAACTGTAACCAAAGCCCAAAATCTGGAGACCTCACCTTGTTCCAGAATCCAGAACTCTTTCTTTTGGCTTTTGGCTAGATGTGGTTTAGAACCTGTAAACTGTTTGCTATTACATCCCAGTCTATCCTCATGACCAAGCTTGACTGTAGGAGGCCTTGCATTTACCCTTGTTTATCAGCTGAGCAACTTGAGGTTCAGAAGCCAAGGACCTTGTTCAAGGTCACACACCTATTGAGTCAGAGACCTGGTCCCAAATAAGTTTGCCTCCCTCCAAATCCTGTGCTTTCGTTTCTTTTTTTCACCCCATGCCCTGGGACCGAGAAGTGTCACATATTAGCTTGATGCAGGCTGTCCCTCTGCCCACTGCCAGCAGGAATCTCTTCTCATTCTTGTCCTGTGGTCAGGGAACATGTGTCCTGGGGTGAGAGGAAAGCCCAGAGCTATTCATTCGACAATTGCGCCTTTCAGTCTAGATTTGTTTTTTGATTTGTTTTCTGTTTGTCTTTTCTTCTGGGGAGGGAGGGCGAAGTGGGGGAGCAGCAGCCTTTTCTGGGAGCTCTGTTGATTTCTGCTTCTGCTGTGTAGGGATTTTCAATGACGAGGCTTTGATTTTCCTGCCTCCTTGGGAGAGTCATGCAATTTTTTAAAAATCCACTGGCTCTGGTAGTCCATTTCTGCTCCACGTAGCCTGCTGAGGAACCCAAGGCCTCCAGACTGAGCCAATTTTCTTTCTCTCTGTTTTGCATGAGATGTTGAAAAGTCCTTGACTCAGGGTACTTTGCTGGAGTTGAGACTGAGAGCTAGTGTACGTGTGTGTGTGTGTGTGTGTGTGTGTGCGCGCGCGTGCGCGCGCGTGTGTATTTGTAAGGCAGGGAGAGGGCACCTCTAGGCAATGAGTCTTTGCTGCTCTGCATCAGAGTTCTTGAGCTGGAACACACGAGCCTATGGTCTCAGCTATAAGGATCCGTTGCACAGCCAGAAGAGGACATGAGTGAGCTTGCATCTGCTCAGGTCAATTGCGCACACTGGAGAGTGCAGATGCTGACATCAATTACATGTATGCTCAAGCAGGTGGAGTAGCGAGACATAAGCCAACCAAATACCCGTAGATACACAAGTGTGCTCTCCAGCCTATGTGCAGTCTCAGGTGTGAAGACCTCTGTGAAACATACAGCCCGAGACTTGCTGTGAGCATCTATGCCAATGCATTAGCTATCAGATGATTCTGTGAGCATGTGGACCCACAAAAACATGTATGGGGCACCAAGACACCAAGGTCAAGCCTTCATCTTGCTTTCTACAAGAGTAGATATTTTTCAGTATATGTAGGAGTGAGCATAGACAAGCATGCACTTGTATTTGTGTTTCTGTTTGTGTGAACATATGGGCATCCCAGGGCGTGTCTTTGTTGGTGTGGGTGCACATTCCCCAGTGTGCATCTGCAACTCCAGAGCACATGTTCAGAGGGAACTCTGAGAGAGAGGCGCCTGGATGTGAGGCTGAGGATGTAGGGCCTCATTTGCATGGTGTTCCCCTGTGTTTGAGCTTGCTGTGTTCACAGCCCTGGAGAATTTCAAACAACAACAGTGACACCAACAAAGAGGAATGGAAAATGATGTAACCCTGCATACATTTCTGGAGCCTCGGGAACGGTCCCTGCGCAGGCTACGATTCCAGCAGTGTCCGTTACCATGGCTATGGCTAAAGAGACGCTGCTGGCTTCTGTTTATTTTTAAATCCCCATCCCCGTGACACCCCTCTCTGGAGCTCAAACCTCATCCTATCCACCCCAAGCTTCCTTCCCTCTGCTCAGAAGGTGAGATCTCAACCCTCTCCATACTCCGAGGGGGACCTGGGAGGGTATTCCAACCCTTACACCCCACCCTCCAGAAATCCAGGTGCCTCTGGGCCAGGGAGGGTGTTACTCTAGACCAGGAGGCTCCTGGCAAATTGCAGAACTCAGTGGAGGGAGCCGCCTTCATGCTTGTGTTTAGTGTGAGCTTCTGGTCCAGCTTATGGTTACCTGACTGCCAGGGTTAATAGGAATAAGTCCACACAGAGAGTTCTACCACTGATTTCATGATACCTACAGCCCAGGCTGGGGGTAACGGGGTAGACAGAGGGAACCTCAGCAGATAGGGTCCGGTCCCAGGCTTCCTTGGGCAGGTCTTCGTGCAATCTAAATTTTCTCCTTTTAGTCCCCTGTCTGATTTGTGCCTGGGTGAGGAGGAGGCCAGCCAAAAGAAGTGGTGATTTCTTTCCCTGAGAGAGCTGAAAGGCTGGGCAGGATTGAGCTGAGGCGTGTCTTCCCTTGCCCACAGGGTTTGGGCTATACAAAGGCAGGGCAAACTGAGCCCGAACTCATAGGTTTCCTTTGTAGTTTTTCTAGTCCAAACTGCACTGGCACCCAGTTGTAGGTTCAGGGTAACATAGAATAGAGAAGGCTCACACTGACATTTCCCAGTGTGGATAATGAGCATCTGTGGCCCATGACTTCTCTCCTCAGGCAGTTAGATGCTTCAAGAAAAGATGATCCTTTCTTACTCTGCCCTTCATAGTGCCTTTGGGAGAGGACCTGTCTTAGTCACTGTTCTATTGCTGTGAAGAGACGCTATGACCAAGGCAGCTTATAGAAGAAAGCGTTTAGTTGGGGGCTTGTTTATACATTCAGAGGGTTAGTACATGATCATCATGGCAGGGAGCATCATGAGAAGGTGTGTGTGGCAGCAGGAAGGCAGGCATGATGCTGGAGCAGTAGCTGAGAGCTTACACCTGGATCCAAAGGGGTGGGGGGGCAGAGAGAGAGAGAGAGAGAGAGAGAGAGAGAGAGAGAGAGAGAGAGATATTGAGCCTGGTGTGGGCATCTGAAACTTCAAAGCCTACCCCCAGTGACACACCTTCTCCAACAAGGCCATGCCTTCTAATCCTTCCTAAACAACCCACCAACTAGGAATCAAACATGAGCCTCTGGGGGCCGTTCCCATTCAAACCACCACAGAGCCCTCATTACAGCGGGTGGTCAATGAATTAACGCTTATCTAGTTAAGGCCTCCAAGCCTGTACAGAGCATTGGCTGTGGGCTTTTCTGTTCTCAGTGGGGCTTTCTTATTTTAAAAAATGAGGGACTAGATCGAGTTATCTCTACCCATCCAGCCTGACATTTCATAATTCTATTAACTAATTGAATCGGATGGGCATTATGGAAAATGTTGAACAACAGGCTGATTTTTTTTCTTTGAACATGAACCAGATTCCCTGGGTCAGAGTCAGGTCAGCAGAAGGAAAAACAAGCAGATGACGACACCCCCCTCTCTGTGCACAAATGGGCAACATCAGCAGAGCACGCCGGAAGTGTGCAGTGGGAATTGGCAGGTGTGTGCTTTCTGAGAATTGCCCTGAAATTTAGGCACTTTGGTGGCTAGTGGTCACAGGCTCCTTTCACCTCTAGCATCTAGTTGAGTCCCTGCGGTGCCTTCAAGGGACTAAAACAGGCACTTTTTGATAAGTTTTGGGTTTGAGAAACAGGTCAAGTCCTTCAACAGAAACAAATAAGGGTGTGACTTGGTGTGGCCAGAGACACAAGGACTCCTAGGTTTTCCTAGGACACCCTCTTGATCACCTCATCCCTTCTGATTACTAAGAATTATGGATTGAATTGTGTCCTTAAAATTCATAGTCTGGTGGTTCTTAATTAGAAACAAGGTCTGTCCTAACCCACCCCTCATCTGCCATATGGTGGCATGGGCAGGGGAGAGATGCCCTTCCCACCCCCCTCCTCTGCCCATCAAAGCCTAAAGCAGGTGGGAGAGCTGGCCCTAAGGTTATAAGAGTGAGAGAGCTTTTTCTGCCCGCCCCCACTAGCTGCAACTCTCAGGAGAGTGGCCCCTGCACCTCACCGGAGCAGTACAGTAGAGCCAAACCTTTGGTGGAGATGTAGGTGAGCCAGTCCCTAAGTAGTGAGCATGAGAGAGCTGTCCCCACTATTTGTCTGTCGTGTGGCAGTGTGGTTAGGTGAGAGATGCCCCCCCATTACCCCTCACCACCTATGACAGATGAGGGAGCTGACCCTCTCCCTTACCACCTGCAGCACTCAGGAAACTGGACCCTGTTCCTTCCCTGGGCAGCACAGTAGAGCTGACCTTGTTGGCAGAGGTGTGGGTGAGCCAGCCTTGAAGTAGTGACCATGGGAGAGGTGTCCCCATTATTCACCTGTCTGGTGGCAGCATGGGCAGGGGAGAGATGCCCCCACCCACCCATCAATGCCCGAGGCAGGTGGGAGAGCTGGCTCTGAGGTCATAAGAGCAGGAGAGCTGTCCCTGCCCCTCACCAATGCAGCACTCAGGAGAGTGGCCCCTACACCTGGCCTGGGCAACACAGTAGAGCTGGCCCTGAAGGTGTAGGTGTGGGAGAACCAACCTGAGGACGTGAAAGCAGGAGAACTGGCCCCGCCCCTTGCTCATCTATGCATGGGTGAACTAGCCAGGACAATGTTGGAGAGCTCATCTTGGTGGTAAAGACAGGGGAGAGCTGGCTGCTGAACTGACCAACCCTGCAACTACCCAGGCCAAGAACCAGGATTATGTGTTGGCCCACCCCAACATCTGCCCCATCTGTGATCTTCTGGAGCAGGGTTGCGGGGGGAGCATTGGGGGTAGGGATGGCTGCAGGATCTCCACCTCCACATATAGGCAGCAACAGGATGTCCAGGAAGAGTCCCAGTGAGGGTCCAGCATCTATGGTGTAGCAGAGATCAGGGGCTTCAACCAGACCAGTGATTCTTTGGGATGAACACTTGCATGTAAAAATGTATGGATAAAGGGGTTTATGTGTAACCCACTGTATCACACTGCAGCTTCCATGATGAGAGAGTCTCCTTTTCTTCCTTTTTTCACCCCCTTTTCTTCTCTTAAATTTTATTTTGGTTTATTTGGGGAGAGGATGGGTGAGATCCAGGGACATGGTGTGGAGACATGATGTGAAAGACACAAAGAATAAATACCAAGAAAGTTAAAACAACAAGGAATAAATAGAAAGAAAGTTAGAAAAAAGAAATAAGGTCTGTAGAGAGGTAATTAATTGCGATGAGGTCATCCTGGTGTGTTTTATATAAAGGGGGAACCCTGGGGCAGTGGTTATAATTCAGTGTCACAGCACCTGTCTCACATGCACAAGGCTCTGAGTTCAATCCTCAATATTGCCAAAAGATGTGTGTGTGTGTGTGTGTGTGTGTGTGTGTGTGTGTGTGTGTGTGTGAGAGAGAGAGAGAGAGAGAGAGAGAGAGAGAGAGAGAGACAGAGAGACAGAGAGAGAGAGACAGAGAGACAGAGAGTTGGGGTTCAGGGTGTGTGTGTGTGTGTGTGTGTGTGTGTGTGTGTGTGTGTGTGAGAGAGAGAGAGAGAGAGAGAGAGAGAGAGAGAGAGAGAGAGAGAGAGAGAGACAGGCAGACAGACAGAGAGACAGAGAGACAGAGAGTTGGGGTGCAGGGTGTGTGTGTGTGTGTTGAACACAGAAATACTGCCAGAAGGTGAAGGTCACGTGACAGTGAAGGTAGGTCAAGCCAAAGTCAGTGGATGCCAAAGGTTGCCTGAAAATGAGCGGCAGCTTAGGAGAGGCACGGTGCAGTCCTCACCTGCCTGTGCTTAGGAGGCATCATCTTGGGCTCAGACTTCCAGACTCCAGAGTGCCAAGGCAATGCATTTTGCTTGGTTTTGGCCCCAGCCTGTGGTGTTTGATTCCTTTAGCTGTAGAAGATTCACACAGTAAGAGATGCCATGTGCTGGAGAGAGCCTTAAGTCTCAGCCATTCCCCACTCCGGACCCTCACGCTTCCCTCTTCCAAGATGTCACTCAAACACATCAGGTAGCAGGTAACATACAAACAGCCGACTATCCCCAAAGAAAGTGATTTTTTTTCCCAGCTCAACTCAGCTTTGCAGCTATTTCCATCCACCAGGAGGTCCTTCCTCCTTTCCCACCCAAATCCCACCTGCTGCAGTCTCAGGCTATTCTGCTTTATTTTGCTCTCAAGAGACAATGATCAACTGGAACGCCCACCTCCAGAAATCAATCCTTTGTTGTCTAAAAGTTACACATGGAATCTCTCTCCCGGTTCGCTGACAGCTCCCACCTTCCAGTTCAAGGTAAACCTTCAGCTCACAGCCTAGGAAACGCCCAGGCTCTCAACCGGGCAAACGTTCCTGTGCAGTGACCTTGCCTGTGACATCCCCATCCCAGCTGTCGCCCCATCCCTCCCCTGCTTCCCTGGGTCCTTCAGCACAGTCCTTCCAAAGACAGAGCTTGTTTTGTGTGCCTGAGCATGCCTTGTCTCCAAACACAGTGTGGAGAGGAGTCATGGGGACGGAGCTGCGGTGGCCGCACGCTCACAGTGACCGATGAGAGGGCCTGATTGCTTGTGCATGGCTGCTGAAAGGGGTCTTGACATTTTAAGTGCTCGTCAGAGTGAGGAATGACAGCAGCAGACAATGAGACACTTCCTCTTTGCCTTTTGCTGGCTATTAATAAGGGTTTCTGATTCCATAGAAGTGGGAGAGACTCTGGGCCACTGGCTTGACGGAGCCTTCTGGGATTTTTTTTTCTCTCTCACTTTGTCTTTCTCCCTGTGCCTCTCTCCTCTTCTCCCTGCCCGTCTCTCCTCTAGCTTCCAGGGTCTCTCTCCCCCAGGTGTGGCTGCCTGTTTGTCTTGGAGTTGGAATTGCTCGTGTTCAGGAAATGGCGTGAGGCAGCTGGTCTCAGCCGTGACTTTGGCTCTCCGCTGGAGTGTTGCCGGTCTCTGAATCCCTGTCCTGATTTCCCCAGGGCTGCAGTGGACTGGAAGGGAGGTTAGGAGCTGGCAGGGGAGAAGGGTGTGAAGCTGGTAGTGGGAAATGGGCTTCTGGGAAAAGCCACTCACAGGGACCATTAAGGTTGTCTGTACGTGCTGGGGCAGAGAGATGGGAGACAATTTCCTCTCCCACTTTCCCTGTCTGCATCCTTCTCTCCCTTTCTGTGGTCCCTCCATCAGTGCTAGTGGCCACGTGATCCTCCTCAACCTTGCTGGGCAATGGGCTGCCTCCTGGCTTCAAGGAGAACGTTCTATGACTGGATCTCAGAAGGGATTGTTTGTATTGCTAGATTCATGGTTCTGAAGTTTATCCTCTTGCCAAACTAGGGAGATCAACCATTTTGACAGCCAGAATGCAGTTTTCCTCAGTGTGAAAACTGGGGCAGTGCCCAGTGAACCAAACCCCTTAGTTACCCCTCCTCCCGATCACACCACGACCTGGCTTCGGGTTCAGTAAGTTGATACAGGGGATGGACGGAGGTGAGCTGGACAAGAATCCTCAGAATGGAGCAGCCTGCCTTCTTATACCAGTAAAAGAACAAAGAAGAGTGAGCGTCCACTGTGACCTTTGACTCCTTAGGGGATCCACGTGAAGTGAGGAACATGCCCCGGCTCTCAGGCTGCCTGGCCTTTTATCCTCTCTCCGTCCCTCTTCCGAACACCCACTCTAGCCTGGAGTCCAGGTCCAAAGCCTATCCCTTTCTTCTCATTCAATTACATAAACAATATGAGCTTTGCAAACAGAAAATTACAGGCTGCAATAATTGAATCCTTCCCTGGACTTGAAGCTTACAGGGCGGAGGTGTGTAGTGCCTTCTGGATACCCAGCCTTGCCCCAGGGCCTCACTTTCACTTAGTCAAGTCCTAACCAACATTTAAACATCATGTTGTAGCTAATGGTGTTTCTACCTCTACCAACTCCCTTGAATTTTACAACTATGTGAAGTCAGTTATCCAGCAAGCCTTCTGTGCCTGTGGGTTTTGCATCCATGGATTCAAATAGCCACAGATGGGAAGCATTTGGGGAAAAAAATGCCCCTGTACTGAACATGTGCTGATGTTTTTCTTGTCATCATCCCTAAATATAATGGAACTGCTATTTGCTTGGTATTTATATTGTATTGCGTATTATAAAGAATACAGAGATGATGTAACTTTTGTGGGAGGCTGTGCATAGGTTATTTGTAAATACTGCACCATTTTGTGTAACAGACTCTAGCATTGTAGGATCTGGGTATTCACAGGAAGTCTTAAGACCAATTGGCTGTCACCTCTGATCTTATTATTGTTTATTATTCTCTTTTCACAAAGGGGTGATATCTGAGGCATAGAACCATTCTGAATGTTCAAGGGGACATAACAAACACTTATTTCACAGCTCAGATCCAGGTCCAAGTTTTCTGCAATGGATTTCATGTTTTCCCAAGTGCAGCCACATTCCACCTCCCACCATCCTTGACCAGCATGTGGACCTGCCACCTTTAGTCTGCCATGGTCCAGGGTAAGTAAGAGGGTAGCTATTTTTCTCTTGCAAGTTCAAGTCCATGAGTGTCTAGAGCAGTGGTTCTCAACCTTCCTAACGCTGCAACCCTTGAAGACAATTCCTCATGTGGTGACCCCCCCCAACCATAAAATAATTTTGTTGCTACTTCATAATTACAATTTTGCTACTGTGGCGGTTTGAATAGGTATGGCCCCCATAGACTCATGGGTTTGAATGCTTGACCCATAGGGAGTGGCACTACTATGAGGTGTGGCCTTGTTAGAGTAGGTGTAGCCTTGTTGGAGGAAATGTGTCACTGGGGGAGAGCTCTGAGGCCTCATATGCTCAAGTTATGCCCAGTGTGGCACACAGTCTCCTTTTGCTGCCTACAGATCAAGATGTAGATCTCTCAGCTCCTTCTCCAGCACTATGTCTGCCTTCTTGCTGCCAGGTTTCCTGCCGTGACGATAATGGACTAAACCTCTGAAACTGTAAGCCAGGCCCAATTAAATGTTTTCCTTTAGAAGAGTTGCTGTGGGGGGTGGAGAAATGCCTCAGCGGTTAAGAACATTGGCAGTTCTTCCAGAGGTCCTGAGTTCAATTCCCAGCAACCACATGGTGTCTCATAGCCACCTATAATGGGATCTGATGCCCTCTTCTGGCATGTAGGCTCTATATGTAGATATGGCATCATATATATATAATAAACAAATCTTTTTTTGTTTTTTTAAACAGTTGCTGTGGTCATGATGTCTCTTCACAGCAAAAGAAACCCTACCTTAAGACACTACTGTTAGGAATTGTAGTTTAAATATCTGATGTTCAGGATATCTGATATGTGACTCCTGTGAAAGGGCCGTTTGACCCCCAAAAGGGGTCATGAGCCACAGGTTGAGAACCACTGGTTTAGAGCAACATACAAAATTAAAGCCACTGTCCCAAAACCTGTAAGAAAAATTCTGCCAAGACAGTTACTGGGCCCTCTAAAGAGAGCCCTCCACGCCTGCCTCCACCCCCAGCCCTTCTTATCACATAGGTCTGCTGAAACCCTTTCCTCTAGGACAAAGGCAGCCACTTTGGTTTCACTTTTCCTGTTCTTCTTTTAAAGTGGAGCCGAACACGAATTCCTTAGACTATGGCAATGACTTCCCCCTTGTCAGCATTTCCTCACCAATGCTGTTTGGCGTCTCATCTCACCGTCTTACATTCAAAAAGCAGGCACCACAATTTTATGTTTGAGGCATGGGAAGCTGGGAGTTGAGCAGCAAAGACATTCTTCCAATACAAAGTAGAACCCAGGATGACTACCAACCAGCTAGGCCCAGGTCTCTAATATCATCCCACAGGATTGGCTGGGGAGGGGGCTCTGACAATCTCCCCTTCTCCAGAGCAACCTCATCTTTAAATCGGCCCATGGAATGTCATCCTTCACACACTCTTTGCCTTTCATCATGTGTCCATTAAATTCGCCCTCATTTCTCATCTTCTTAGTTATTTAATAAACATCTCTCACAAAGTGAGGCTCTAAGAAAGACTCAATTGCTCCTGCTCTTTGCAGGGTAATAAAAGTTCAGGCTGTGTAAAACTACACAAGGTACTCACTCTGTGATATCTGCTTCTCCCCGGAGCCCCATCTCCTGCCTCTTTCCCCCAGCATCATACTCTATAGTTACGCTAAACAGCTTATAACTCCTTTGCTGCACACGGCGGGAGGCTTCACTTTCCACTGTTTTTATGTACACTGCTCCATCTCCCTAGAGTGCCCTTTTACTTCACGGGGCTTCATCCCACTCCATCATCCGGGCTCAGCCCAGGCATCACCCTCACTAGAAATCCTAAGCAAGTCTGAAGGTGGTCCAGTCTTCTATGCTAGGAGTCTATAGTTTTGTAGGAATTTTTTTATTCCATTAATTAATTTGTTTGTTTGTTTATTATGGGGGAGTGGGCTGCATGTGGGGAAGGGCCACTGTACCTGTGTAGCAGTCCAAGGACAACTGACGGAAGTCAGTTCTCTCCTTTTATCATATGGGTCCCTGAAACTGAACTTGGGTCACCAGGGTTGGTGGCAAGCATCTTCATCCACTGAGCCATCCTGCTGCCCAAACTGGGATCTGCTTTTAGAGGATGGTTTCATGTTTCTGTGCTTAAGTCACCCACCTCAGCAACTAATCCCCTACCAGACACTTGTTACACAAAGACTAAGCCATTCTCTCTATGCCCCAGCAGCTAATACAAGCTCATGAGACCACTAGACAAATCTTTGCTGAAAGTCCTTCAAGCCCCATGTTTAGCTTGGGTGGCAATGTATGCATAATTGGATCTTCTCAAATGCCTAGACTCAGATGCCTTTCCATGGGTCCTGGTTCCCTCCATACAAAAAGAAGTTTATATTGAGTTCTTAGAAGTTGCCATTGTAGCCAGGAATCACAGGTACTAATGGAAACTGTTGCTAGTACCACAAAGTCCTTTCTCACACATCAACGTGTCACTGATTTTCTAGAAGATTCTAGAAAGCAGGAAGGAAAGTCTAAGGCCAGTGCAAAGTTCACCTGCCAGTCAAGGTGATCCATAAGAGACAGACAAAGCAGAAGAAATGATTCCTTCTCTTCTAAGGACTCTACAGGTGCTTCAATATCCAGAGCATTCCTACCTAAATGGAGATATTTGCCATGATCCTGGTAAACACGATCCAAGATGTCAATTCTTTGCAAATGAATTGATAATTCTTAAATGTACTCATGGTTAAAATCCCGAAAAGATTTTTTTTATAGAATATAAGAAGGCAAGTTTGAAATCCATATTGAAAATATAATTACCAAGGGCTGAGGATGTAGATCAGTGGTTGGCAAGACCCTGGATATCAAAAGATACTATTAGTATGTCAGGTTTTTGCGATAGAGTCTCATGTAGCCGAGGCTGCCCTCTAACTCATTGTGTGGCCCAGTATGCTCTTAAACTCCCTGCCTCTGTCTCCCAAGTGCTAGGATTACAGGTGTATATCATCACATAGGTTATTGCTATCCAAATACACTGTGTATGTACATATATATATATATATATATGTATATATCACAGGATTTTACTATTTAGAATATATCCATATATTACTGTTTATATCAAACAGTAAAATTCTGTGATAGACACATGCAGAAAGCTGAGAAACCAGAATGTCAGTTTACAAATAAATGTATATATTTGCCAGGCCCATAGTAAGTACTGGGGCCATCAAATTAAGGTGACATTTCATATCAGTGGGACAATAAGTTAGAGAAAGACAATTGACTATTCCTGAGGAAAAAGTAGATTTTCATACCCACTATCAGTCATGGAAATCAACTCTAAGAGCTTATAAGCCTACATATGAAAATGTATGTAATTTTTGGAAGGGACTAAAGAATAGTTGATGGCCTCAGGGTAGGGAGGGCCTTTAAAATAAAATAAAAGATATGGAGCCGAACTGGCAAACTACTGTTTGTGGGTTAGATCTGCACTGCCATCTCTCTTTGTCTAAAAAACCCACAAAGTTTTATTGGGACACAGCCCATCTATTTGCTTTCTTATCGTCTGTGACTGCCTTTATGCTACAACAGTGTCATCGAGTACTCAGTCACAAGGACTGTATTACTTGTAAAGCCAGAAGTATTTACTATCTCGCCATTTACAGAAAGAATGCTGACCCTTGGCATAGAGTTAAAAGATTGATAAATATAACTACAAAAATGTAGCACATTTTAGTCACAGAGATGCTGTGAGCAGAGTTCAAAAGGCAACAGCAGACTTGAAGGCAATATTTGGAAGATATATATCAGATAGTGGATTGACTGAGGACATGTGGAGACAGCCTACAAATCAAGAGGCCACTCTGACAAGAAAGGAACCATCATCCCACAGGAGTGGGCAGAGGCCAGGGACAGGAAATTCACAGAAAACCTTCCAGTGGCCAATAGAAGCACAAATGCATTGTCTCACCTCATTGCATCCTTCACTGCAAGCCCAGAGGAAAGAAAAGAGCAAGGGAATTTTAGAAACGATTTATTTTCTAATTTTTATGTATGTCTGCATACCATATGAGTGCCTGGTGCCCAAGGGGGCCAGAAGAGAACAGTGGATTCCCTGGGACTGGGGTTATTGATGGTTATGAGCCACCTGAGGGTGCTGAGAATTGAACCTAGGTCCTTTTGAAAAGCATCCCGTGCTCTCAAGCACTGAGCCATCTCTCCAGGTCCCAAGAAATGTTTGATGAAAGAACTGTTTATAAAGGTGTGATCTAGAGGAACCACACACATGCACACATATACATGCACATACACAAACTGTGACACAGTACTCTGAGGTTAGCAACTTAACATTATACATATTTTATATTATATATACACATATATATATTTACTACAATAAAATAGCATGGACATTCTCCAAAAGATATTAATGAAGGGAGTAAACAGTGTTTTAAAATATTTGAATTTAGGGCTGAAGGTGGAGCTCCACAGTGCAGAACTTGCCTCTTAAAATCCTTGGTTTTGGTCTCCAATACCATGTACACACACACATGCATACTCTCTCACACATACATACACACACATGCACACATGCATATGTACACATACACATGCACACACACATGCACACTCATCCGCTCTCACAAATACGCATGTACACACATGCACACTCACACACACACATGTGATCGCCCATAGGCACACTTACACAAAGACACAGGCAACGTGAAGATAAAAAATGTGAAAACTCAAAAGTGTAAGCATAAGAATCTGGGATGGCTATATTTCTACAAAAACAGGTTTTAACTCAGTTGATATCCCTCAGTCACTGTGCTTAGCCAGATGACATCACCAGTGTGCAGCACACTCTTGAGTCCTAGTATTAGGGAGGCTGAGAGAGGAGAATTCTGAGTTCAAACATAGCACATTTTAGGCTGGCCTGGGTAACATAAAAAGATGCTGTCTTTAAAAAGACCAAGTAAAAGTAGACCTCAAGACTAGAAATATCACTAGGAAAAAAATTTTTTAAGTATAGATCCCTTTGCTATGAGCAAGGGCATCAAGATCTTGGTGGGGAAACCAGCAGAGATGACCAAACCAAACTAGTGGGAACTCATGAAATTTGGATCAACAGCTTGGAGCCTGCATGGGACTTGGCTAGGCCCTCTGCATAGCAAGACAGTTGTGTAGCTTGATCTGCTTAAGGGGCCCCCTGGCAGTAGGCTCAGAATCCATCCCTGGTGCATGAGCAGGCTTTTTGGAGCCCACTACCTATGATGGGACACCTCACACAGCCTTGAGGCAGGGGGAAGGGCTTGGACTTGCCTAAACTAAATGTGCCTCCCCATAGGTGGCCTTACCTTCTTGCAGGAGGGAATAGGAGGTGGGTTAGGAGGGGGAGGCTGGAGGGGTGGGAGGGAGGAAGAGGGGAATCTTTCATTGGTATGTAAAATGAATAAATTTTTTTAAAAAAGTATAAATCCCTTAAAAACAAGCTTAATAATCTTAAATGTATGCATCAAAATATAGAAAATAATCCAAAATATGAAATCCACAAATAGAGTATTTATTTTATCACATTCTTCTCTGTAATTAGCAGACCAAGTGTGAAACTGTCAATGAAATATGAATGGTTTGATGAACAAGGACCTGTTCTACTCAAAGCCTGAAGATGTGACAGAAAGCCTAGAGGCCTCAGAAGTGTAGAGGAGGCATCAGACAGGAGGTGAGGCTTTGGGTGTACTTCTGCACTTACGTAAATATCTCATATAAAACCATAAATGCCTTACACAAACATAGTACTATACATAGGTAATTTTATAATGTTCATCACCCAGTAACATTGTTGGAGAGAAGATGGTTATTTTTGTAAGAACATATTTATTGTTTGTGAAATTAAAAACTTTACTACCATGACTACCAATAACAGCAGCATAGCTAAAATCAAAATAAAAACAAGCCAACACAGCAACAAACCAAAAGCAAAGTCAAGCATCGCTGGACCATGAATGTCTCCTCTGATAACTGGAGCCCACTGTTTCTGTACCTACTTCCTCTGTAGACCTTCCATGCTTGACGACCAAGAACTAGGCCTGTGTCCTGGACATTTCCTTTTCCAGTCTTTACCCCGTTCTAGAAATTGTGTTGATTTCAACCTGATCCGCAGGCTATTGTTGTTTCTTCTAGAAACCCTGCTAGCTGGTAGAGAGCTTGTGGGTAACAGATACAGATTGGCTCACCCATGCACCTTCCTGGAAAGTGAAGAATGGGATAGAGGAAGTCAGCCCTGTAATACGTCCATGGCTTTGTGTTTAACTATGAGAATAGGAGAGTCAGGAGAGAGATGGGCTCTGGAGAAGTGAGGGGCAACTGAAATGCCTGGCAGAGGAGACCACAGAAGGAAATCCTGCTGGGTTTTGGAGAGCAGACTCTGAGTGACGTCAACAGTGACCTTGTACTTTCATACAAACATCATCCCTGCATCTTTATCAGGAATACCCATACTGCGTTCTCTTACTTATAATCAGAAGAACCCTGGTAGGAAGAGCTATCTGCTCTTTGTTTCCAGCAGATTGTTCCTTGTCAGGTGCCCAACAATTGGATCAAATGGGGCAACCATTCCTCTTCAGCAGCCTTGCAAATGCTTGCCTAGTGCTGGATACTTGCAGTGTTCGTGGCTTCTCGGCTCCTAAGACACCCATGCCACAGACGGGCAGCGCTGGCAGGGCCTCAGTGGCCTCGCAGGGCCTCTTCTCTGTGGCGGCTCTACGAACGTGACTCGGCCCATCCTGAACCAAACATCCCCAGCTTCACGGATTGCTTCATGAGGTACTCCTTCCAGATCTTTCTTCCACTGATGACACTCTCCAGGCAAACTCCCGTTTGTCAGTGTCTCTCTTAGACTAAAGTGCCTCAAATTGACTCTTCAGCCCTTAAGCTTCTCTGCCCTGTGAGTGATAGGCAGAGCTGTGGAGAGGTCATAAAAGACTCCACAGGACTGAGAATTGGTAAGGGGCTATATTACTTTGCTGAGTATTTAAAAGAGAATTATTAGCTGCAGGGAACTGCTTGGAAATTGCTCCAATATATAAACTCTTAAAAGTGTTCGTATGAAATTCATTAATACCTGTGACTTGTTTTGCCAATATGGAGCTCGAAGCATAGAATGTTACCACAGCACAAAGCACACATCTCCCTAGTCAATCCCTCTGTCCCTCCGTGACTGTGAATCACTCACATTTGAGGGGCAGCTGGCATCCTTGGAGCTTGGGATTGAACTGCAGACTCTGCAAAGTCAAGTGGACGGTTAAGACTGCCAGAGCGTCCTGGAGACGGGAAGACACCTTAAAAGGGATCATCTACTCTAATCCCTTCATTTTACAGATAAGCCACCTTAAATCCGTTCTGGAACAAGTGGGGCATTAATAAATAAATAAAACAAAGTAAATTTTACCTATGAGGAAGCTGAGACTCAAAAGCAGTTAAGTGGCCAGCCCAAGAGCATGAGGCTGGCTGGGGAATAGAGCCAAGGCTTATCCAGGTAGTCTACAGTTCTTGGGCCCTGCACCCAGCCCATCCCAGTGGAAAGCCAGCATACCATAGGGACAAACCCTACGTGCTAAGAAATGATTGTCACCTCTCCGAGAACAGACACAGGCTAATGGCCGTTTGCTCAGAGTCAGAACTCTAACAGCGACTGAACTAATCAGAGCCCGCAAGTAGCCAGCATCTATCAACCAGCCGGCCTTGCCTGGACTGGTTTCCCAGCTGACCCTGCTCCCCCAGGGCCCCCAGGAAGTGAAATCAATATTAGAGTTAAAATTGCCAGTCTTCTTAAAGGTTGAATCTGGAACTGTAAGAGCCAGGCATCAATTTCAAACGTGGTTTGGAATTCTCTTAGCTTTCCTATAGCCTCCCAGAACCTCAGCCTCTCCTGCCCAGACTGGAAAAGCCATCTCCCCACGCAGCCAAAGGGTAGAACACACCTTGCCCCTCTCAGATGACTTTCCCAAATTCTGGCCACTCCAGTTCATGAAAGAGAACTTCTGTATTCTGTATGGAGGGTAATCAAATCCACTGATTGCCCTAGGCATGCTGGGAAGGCCCCAGGCTTTGCCACTTGGAATGGAGGGAGGCGTATTCGTCAGCCTGAGCTATTCAGGGTATTTCCATTCCCACCAGGGGGTCCGGGAACTCGAGTTAAGTTCACATCCCTCTGGAGTTGCAAGGACCTGAGACTTCAGCTCCTCTCTGGGAAGTAAGCAGCAAGAGATGGAGTCTCCAGGACTTTGGGAGGGAACCACGCACACAAATTACACAATATCCTGCAGAGGTAGTAACCTGGAAAGGAAATTGCAGCAAGATGGTCGGTTGGAGAAACCTGGAAGGCTCGGGCAGCAGTTCAAGCCCGAAGCATTCAGTCTAGGTAAAAGCCACGACTCCAGCCCCACGCCAGCCGTGTACCTCCCCGCTGTCCCATCGACATCTCTTCCAATACCTCTCTAGTTGGTGGCTTTGCTTGGATGCCCGGTTTCCGATGTCTTTCAGAAGGAATGCTTATCTGCCTTTGAAGGTCTTATTCTGGGACCATTTCTTATTTTCCTCCTTTCTTCTTTCAAAAAGAAAGAAAGAAAGAAAAAACAGCAGCTTTGACTAGTCTGAGGGTGACACGAACGCCTGATTTTTATGCAACGTTGCAAGTGCCTTTCAGCTACACAATGGCAGGTCCTTTGACAATGTCATGCGTCTATTCAAAACAACCGGCATGCCAGTCAGAGGCCTGGGCGTTTGCACAGTGCTTGTTCTCAGTAGTGATAAGGCATGTTAGATTTTCCCATTCTATTTGAGAAATAATTCTGGCCTTTTTAAAGTCCCCTGCTTTTTTGATTATTTTTTTTTTCTTGCCTCTTTGGTGAACAATAGGACCTGTCCCTGTTTGATTCCTTACGTGATGCTTGTGTGGTAACAACTCGAGAAAGAGAGAAAAGGAGAGTGGGGACAGGCTGGGGGTTGAGAGGGGGAGAATGATGGGTTTAACAGGCCCTGCCAGGTGCTGGCTGAGAGAGGTGGTATTAAGGAAGGGCCGGGAGATTAGTACTGTTAATTTCGTTGGGTCGATTTGTACAGCTCCTTTTGTTGGAAGCCAGGGTGTGCAGGAGGATGGGTTAATTATCCACTCCCCTGTTCCTTGGCCTGGTCCTCAGCAGCTAGCCCTCTCTCTTCTTCTAGCAGTTGCAGTATTGAGGATGGGAAGTCTCCTCTTTGTGCTTGTTGGTAACATAATGAATAAAAAAAGAGCAGAGACCTGAGTTGGGTTTGGTGGGGCATGCCCATGATCCCAGCATTTGGCAGGTAGAGACAGGAGGATTGGGAGTTCAAGACCATCCGCGGATATATATCAACTTTGAGGCTGTCGGGAAAATAAACAAAACAGAGCGGGAGAGAGGGAGAAGCTGAGCGGGGATATGACCTACAAAAGATTTGAGAGGACAGTAAGATCACCCACTTCCACAAACGGATATAGAAAGGCCCCAGCCTTCTACTCACTGCAAATGGAAGTTGCTCAATCTGACTGTCCTGCCTCTAAGTGGCTGTGTCTTCACAACTGGTGGTGGTGGTTTTAGTAGCATTACAGACGACACCAGTACTCAGCAGCTCAATGCAACCACCATTCACTCATGCAACAGTCTTTCAGAGTCATTCTGGGCTGCCTCGGCAGCTTTGATGCTGGGGTCTCTCTGGTGAACTCCCGGGTTGACCATGGATAGGGACTGGTTAGCCAGCCCTGGTAATCTCACTTGTCACCTGGTGGATCGCTGAGGCAACAAGGGAGGCTGAAGACAGATATGTCACAGGGTGACTTGGGTCTTCAGGCTGCAAGAAGACAAGAAGAAAATCACTTGAGTCTTTCAAGATCCTCCTTGATTGAAGCTGTGAATGTCCCATTAGCTAAAGGAAGTCACACTGGCCAGCTGGATCCAAGTAGCAGTGAAAATAGTCCCTTTGTGTCAAGGCCAGAGAAGAGATGACAGTCGTTTTCCCTGCTGCAAACTGGATTCTCTTTTCCCTCCATATTCCACCTACATAAAGACACATCCACCAAGAGCTGATTCACACACTGGCTCAGAGCTTTAGTAGTTCAGTAGTGTTTCTGTCTTGAACCCCATGTCCAGTTCCCCTGTCTCATTCACATTCTGTATGTTTCTGCCAAACTGGACCTACTGTTTGTCTACGTTTCCACAAGGCAGTATTGGCAGAACATGCCTGCCACACTCATTTTGTGGATGAGGAAATTGAGACCCAGGGAGCTAATTACCACCTGTCCCCTACATGGGACACTGGAAATCCCTGCTGCAGTCTCAAAATTGGGGTGCCTAGCTGGAAAAATCAGATAACTCAAGAAATTTGTTGCATTTTTTCTTCCACCATACAAAATGAAGGAGAGATGCCTTAAAATGTATGTACTTTATGTCCAGTCCCCCATGACCGGGAAAGGACTTAACATGCTTCCCCCAGCACTGCACTGGCAAAAAGGAATCATAGACTAGCAAAGGGATGCAGAAACAGTTGAGATGCTCAGACCTCTGCAGGGAAATGACACCCTGTGGGCAGATTGGCTGAGTGCGGTCAGCAAAGGCAAGGGGGGTAGTCATTAAACTCTATATGTTTTTATTTTCTAGCCAAGGAAAGCATATACACTCATCTGTTGAGACAGTCTATTTCTGTTGGCACGAAAACTCAGCAGACATTTGCTGGACATAACTCTCTCTATGGAACACTGAGCAGCTCTTTGGACAGAGTCCTTTTTCATAGTTCCAGAAACCCATTTATTTGCTATGTCCCCCCCAACCCCCTGCCTCGCAGTTCCTGGCATGGTGTGCTGCCCACAGTGGGTGCTCAATCAATGCCATGGGCTGATTGGTAAGTGGCATGAGCTGTTTTGACTTCTCACCAGGCACAGAGGATCTATCCCCGGGTGAGTGGATGGGGTTATTGGGAAGGCTAAATTAATTGATTTACTATCGACTGGAACTACAGACCTCTGTCCAATATTCCTAGAATCCACAACTCCCTTAGTTGAAGAAAAACTTCAACTCCTATGTGGGTTTTACCTAAGGAGTCCAAATTCATGCATCACTGAGAAGGTCAGGCCAGAGTCGTCTTCTCCCTGCTCTATGCCTGAATGCCATCTAGCAGGTTCTTTTCCTTCTCTATCACCCATGCTGTCTTCTCTCCAGGCAAGCGTTTTGAAACTCAACTGACATAATCTAGGGGAGACTGCAAGTACAGTACAGATGGGAGCAATACTGGCTCAGGCTGAGCATCCCTCATCCAAAATTCTTAGGACTAAAAGCATTTTGGATTTCTAGTTCTCTCTCTCTCTCTCTCTCTCTCTCTCTCTCTCTCTCTCTCTCTCTCTCTCTTTCTCAATGTTTCCATGTATATTTTGAGATAGCTTGGGGATAGAACCCAAGTCTAAACATGAAATTCATCTCCATTTCATAAATACCCTTTACATGTAGGCTGAAGGTAATTTTACATAATGTTTTTAGGATGCCTGCATTTTGATCTGCAACCTATCAAACTGTAGAATTTTCTCCTTGTGTCATTGTGTCAACACTCAAAAAAGTTTCAGGTACTAGCCCGTATTAGGCAGGGAATTTCTGGAAAGGTGGTAGTCAGTCTGCAATACCCTTAGACTGTTAGTATATAACTCAGCTAAACTTGATTTTTAAGCTGAGGACTTCATGATTCAGCTCTACCCAAACTGGGCTTGAAAATTGTTAGAGCTAAGCAGAGGCTGTAGAGACGCCATACCACAAACCCTGGAGACACAGGCTTAAACGTTTGTCCTCTGCTGCAGTCCAGGTTGTACTGCTGTGGTTAGTCCAGCACTGTGCCTCTCAATCCCTAAGGCTTTGTTAATACGCAGATCATGGCTCAGCAGGTGCAAAGCAAGGATTAAGAAGCTTTTAATCCCAGCACTCTGGGAGGCAGAGACAGGTGAATCTCTGTCCTGCCAGGTCTACAGAGCAAGTTCCAGGATAGCCAAGGCTACACAAAGAAACCCTGTCTCAAAAATAAATAAATAAACAAACAAATAAATAAATAAATAAATAAATAAATAAATAAATAAATAAAATAAAAAGAGGAAGAGGAAGAGGGAGAAGAAGAAGAAGAAGAAGAAGAAGAAGAAGAAGAAGAAGAAGAAGAAGAAGAAGAAGAAGAAGAAGAAGAAGAAGAAGGCAGCACCTTTTAGCAATCAACAAGGCAATCCTGACTCTACTCTTGGAATCAACCATGAGTCCAGCTAGTGATTAAAGAAGCCATCCGGTGCTTGTGGGTAGGATTCCTTACGTGGCCCTACCGTGCCCAGCTCAAAAGGCACAGCCTGAGTGAGGGATAAAGCTCTGGTGGTTCATATACGCCCTGCCCCTCAGTGCAGGCAGGTTGGGGGGGGGCTGGGAGTGTGGAGGGGAAGCTTCTAATTCATGGCCCTATATCCTAAACAAAGGTGCCTTCTGGAATGTAGCGTTCAATGAGAGTTAGAATTCTGCACTCTTCCCTGGCTAGGCCACACTAGAGTCTAGAACAGGCCAGGGTGGGGCTAGAGTGGACCAGCTCCAAAGTGATCGGGCCTCCTACCACTCTGTGTTTGTTCTGTCGTTTTTAGGAGTTGTTAAATTTGTTTCATAAACAGAAAAATTGTATATATTGATGGGGTGCCATGTGATACTTCTATACATATAAATACTACATAATGTTTGAATTTAGTTAACTATATCCATCCCTTCAAACACTTACCAATTCCTTACCATTAAAACCTTGAAATTTCTTTTTCCCCCTAGATTTTTTAAATATATGGTACATTGTTGTTTTCTTTCTTTCTTCTTTGCTTTTGTGTGTGTGTGTGTGTGTGTGTGTGTGTTTCTTTTGAGACAGAGTTTCTCTATGTAGCCTTGGTGGTTGTGGAACTCACTCTGCAGACCAGACTGGCCTTGAACTCACAGAGATCCCCCTGCCTCTGCCTCTGGAGTACTGGGATTAAAAGCATGTGTTACCACCTGCCCAGCTGTTATTTTCTAGCCACTGTAAACCAGCAGAACCACTCAGAGATGGACTTTGTCTCCACACATATCCTCTTACTGCAGCCTGTGGAAAACCTTTGTTAACCCCTTCCTAGAGATGACCAGAACATACACACCAAGGCCAAACAAACTTCTGAAGGCAATTCAGTCCATTAAGACAAGACAAGTTCATCTAGATCTCAGTTTTCAAATTCTTTATATTTCTAGGACACCACATAGGTACATATGGCAATGAACCAGAGAGGGCCCATCAGGTATCAGTTTTCCCCCTGGTAGGAGAAAAGGAACAAAGAATCATCCCCTGGGCTCCTTCCCACTCCACAACAGGCTACCTGGTTCACAGCAGGTGTGGTTACACACCTTTGAGTCACCAGGGACAGGTGTTGCAGAATATTTGATTACACTCTAAAGATGTATCTTTGCCAATGCACCCTCTCATTGGTTTTAATAAAGAGCTAAATGGCCAATAGCTAGGCAGGAAGAGGTTATGTGGTACTTCTGGGGACAGAGAGGACACTGGGAAGGAGAAAAGAGAGATAAGCCAGATGTGGAACAAGTCAGACAAATAGAATGGGATAGAGGAAAAGCCATGAGGTAGAATTCAGATTAATAAAAAATGTGGATTGATTTAAGTTATAAGAACTAATTGAAAACAAGCCTAAGCTAAAGGTTAAGCTTTCATAGTTAATAGTAAGTCTCCATGTCATTATTTGGGAACTGGCCGGCGGGTAAGAGAAAGACTCATTACAGACAGGGTGCAGCGTGTGCTGAGATACTAATAGATTATTTAGGAATCCAACATTCTGGGGTGTGAATGTGTGTGTGTGTGTGTGCTCACTTTGGACAAGCAAAAATATGTCACTTGCTTTTTAATATTTTAAAGAATGCAGGTAGACACGGAGATTTTGGCATGAGTAACCTCAGATTCACACATCGATCAAATGGATTCTTGAACTTCTCGAGTGCTTAGAGTGTACACACTTTAACTTGAAAAATTACCGGGTTTGTCTAAAGAAAAAAATTCAAACATAAAACATGAAGCTCATTTGAAGGGGAAAATTCTCCAGTGGAGTGAACCCAGCCTGTCACAGGAAAGTTAAACCAGGCATAAAGGAAAATGTCAGCTGTGTGGGAGAACCAGCTGTCTTTCACTTTTTTATAAAAAAAAAATTGTTTTTATAAGCTAGATCAGATTATAGGAGAATATATGAGTGTGTGAGGCTGGGCATCAGGAGGCCAGGAGGGAGTGGACCTTACTCCCTCAAGGGTTGCTCAGCTCTCTCTGGGAGTACTCAGGATTTTTTTTTTTAAACTCTAAAAAAAGTACTCTAGAGTGACACATTTATAAGCAGCGAAGAATTACTCAAATAAGAGACACTGTCAGCTGTTTATTTTAAAAGCTTTTTACTAAAGGAGGAGGGAAAAATAAAACCTCTCTTGTCTTCGTGCTTTTTCAACAGGGCGGCGAGTGAATTCCTTCCGGGCTCTATTCTCTTTCGAAGCCTGATTTCTGTTTCTCCCTCCCCTTTCCCACCTCTAGCTGAACTATCTGCCCACCTCCCAAAAAGAAGAAAAGGGAAGGGAGTCTGGCTCCATGAGAGTGTGTTGGAGACAGAAGATGTAGTGCTTGTAGGGTGCAAAAGGGATTATAATGAATTCCAGAAATGGTACCCAGCCAGGAAAAAAAAAAAAGCAAGACAGAGGAAGGATGCAGGAGGGAGGAAAGGAATGCAGAACAAAACCAGGGTGTAGTCATTATTTTCCTTGTTGCTTTCAGAAAATACCTCACAAAGGTGACTTAATGAAAGGGCCCCTTTGGCTCCAACTGTGAGAGTGCATCGGCGACGACAGGATTGTGAAGCAGCTGGTTAAGGTGCATTTACAGTGAGGAAGCCAAGAGCAACGGATGCTGGTGCTCAGCCCGCTTTCTCATTTTTATTTCACTATGACCCCAGCCCATGGGGTGCTGCCACCTACGTTCAAGGTGGGTCTTCTCTCCTGTGCTAAACCTCTCTGGAGACGCTCTCCCAGACACACTCAGAGATGTGTTTCCATGGCGATTCCAAGTCCAGTAAAGTTGACAAGACTGGCCATCATCAAAACTGGGAAGTGAGCTTCAGTTCAGCTCTTCGGTTTCAGAAAAGGCCATGCATTTAAGGCATGGTCACTAGGGTTTGGTGCTGGCCCCAAAGCTCCCAGGAATTCTCCGGTTTCCACCACTGATTCTCTTGTACGAGTGCTGGGATTACAGATATTCTGGCTCTGAATCTGGCTTTTGCATGAGCTCTCGGCATTTGAACTCGGTCCTCATGCTTGCATGGCAAATGCATTTACCCACTGAGCCATCTCCCAGGACCCTGCTTGTCTCTCTGCTTCTCAGTCACAGTGGGGGACTGTTAGAGCCACTCTGCCATGCATTCCTGCTCTTTCCTGTTGGGTCTGATCTCTTTCTCCAAAGTTTGCTCCATCTGCAGAGATATTCCTGGATCCCATCTAGGCTGTGAGTTGTTTGAGTACATATTCAGGGCCAGGATCAAGTCTGGTTCTTGTTTATACTTCCTAGTGCTTGATTCAGAATAAATGCACAATGGAAAGGCTCAGGAAGTTACCCATCCTAGCAACACGTTACTCCAAGCATTGCCTGTATGTTAGTTCAAATCCCCAGAACACCCTTAATGAAGATTTTTACACTGGCCCACATTTTAGAGATGAGTTATCTGGAGTCCAGGGGTTGAATGACTTGTCCAATGCTATTTAGCATGAGGGGAGGGAAACTGAGGCTAAACCCAGGTGTCTGGAAGGTCCACATTCAACCAAGACACCAATTCCTTTCTAAGCCTCACCTAATACTTAGTTTTCTGACTGAACAATTTAGTTAGAACCTTAATCATATGCCAGACTCCAAACATAAGATCATTCTTTGGTTTTAATTTGTGTTTGTTCTGGATGCTTACGTCCATGGCATGTCACCCTCTCCACTCTACCTAAAAATGCACAACACCAGCACTTCATGTCACTCAGACATGTAGTTAGAATAGCCCAGGAAAGACCAGAGTTCTAATCCCGTTGCTTGGCAGATTTGCAGGACCATTATTTAGGATAAACGAAATGATAGTGTATCCTTCCCACAATAGGGCTGGCATGAAACCATTCATGACACTGACGATAACTGCATTGTAAGGCTACAGTTATTAGTGTAAATGTGAGATCTGGCATCTCAAGCCCCACTTTACCCTGAAGCCTGTCTGCCACACAAGGGCTGCCACTCCAGAGATCACCATCTTCTCAGTTCCACACAATCTGGAAGTATAGAAAATGTTCTCTGAACTCTCCTCTGGCTAGTCTGTAAAAGAATCCATAAGTAGGGAGAGCCAGAGGGAACAGAACATCTGTGTGGTAAGTCTTCCCCTCTGGGCTAGCTATGACAGACCAGTGCCTGTCTTTAGTCCTACACACCCACAGGAGGCACTATTCCTACCAATTTAGTGTGTGTAGAGCTCTCTGTAGCCTGACTCCAAGGGTCCCCGAGTTAGACTGGCATTTGTACCCGGGCCATGCTCTCTCTTGTGGTGTAATCTTAGGCCACTGATATTTCTCTGACCCCCAGTGTCAGATGGAAACAGACATGGCTGCTCCTGTCTCACAGGACTGTTGGGAGGGTGAAGGGAGACAGTGTGATTAAACAGCTAAGAACAGAGGGTACAGCAGCAAGAACTCAATATGTCAATCATTCTTTTTTTTTTTTTTTTTTTTTTTTTTTTGAGCCCGAGCAAGTGGGAAAGACACAGAGGAAGTGTTCAACAGCTGTTCACTAATGAGTGACTTTCTCCCCTGTAAAGCCTGGACCTATGGTTCCTCCTCCAGAAGATTCTACTGAAAGGAATCAAGTTTCCTGGTGCCTTAGGTGGAATATGGCAGCCATCAGTACCTGCTTAAGGCGTCAAGAAGGGACGAACAACATAGAAGAGAAAGGACTCTCAGACTGTGTTGCCCTGGACAGGACTGGGAACAAGCATGTGTTGAGGACAGGAGACTACACTTGCTCGCCTTCCTATGCACAGCATGCTGAAGATGTAGAAGAGGGACTCTTGTTGATGCTGTTTCCCATAGCTTATCCTTTCTCCACAACACAGGCCATCCTAGCATCTGTATTCCCAGCCTTGTCCTTCCATGTTCTCCACCCCATCAACCAGGAGAGACATACAGACCTTGTACAGGCATGGAAACTGTCCTTTCCAGAAGCCAGGCAACTTGAATCCTGTTGAACTACAGAACTCTGTCCTTGCACACACCCAGCATCCATCAGCCTTGGGTCTCTTGTCTCTATCCTCAAACAGCCAACAAATTCTGTCTGCCTTAAAAATATCAAATGAGAGACCATGAAAGAAGTTTTAAAGGCACATGCGTGTCACTTTGTATTGCAGGGATTGGTTCCAGGACCCCTGCAGATACCCAAATCCGCAGGTGTTTGCATTTTAGGTAAAGTGCATTGTACCTGCACCCAGCCTAAGTATGCAGCTAGACTTTAGATTGTCTCTAGATTAACTTTAATGCTTAATGCAATGTCAATGTCACCTACATTGCCACTGTGCCACACTGTCGAGGGAAGAATGACAAGGAAGGAGTCTGCACATGTTCCTTGCAGATGCAAGTTTTCCTTGAATTCTTTCAGTGCATGGTTGATTGAATCTGCAAATATAGAGCCTGTGAATACTGAGGGCTGATTGCATTGAGCTACTCAAAGCTGGTGTAAATGATTATACATAATAAACATTAATCTACTGTTGTTTCCAGCCATGCCAGTGGGCTTTATACTATCCACAGACTATCCAGTTGCCTCTCCAGTAAGACAACACATAAGCTGGTATGGAAGCAGGAAGGGCTGGTTCAGGCCTCCTCTGCACCAGGATGGTTATAAATGCGGCCCAACACATTTGTATGATAGACGACAGTGTCAAGTTTTGTTTTTTTTTTTATCACTGTGAAAATCTATAACACAAAAAAGTCATCCTAGGTAGAAAGTAAAGTATGTGCAAAGGCCCTGTGGTAGGAAGGAGCTTTTGACCATTCTAGAAATTGGCAGAAGACGTTGGTATCTGAAACATAGCAGACAGGGTACAATTGGAGAAAGACATGGTGTATAGCAGATGCCTGGTGGCATTTGACTACTAGTGGATTAATTGGTGAGTGAACAAGGCTGCAGCCTGGGTCAAGGAAGCTTATCTCTCTGTACCCTTCTGGTAATGCACATTTCTGCAGCAGCACTGAATACATCTGGCAACATCCCTCTCCAGACTCTGTGGAGAGAGACCCCTGTCCAGGCTTCACCAACTCACCTGGCGATCCGATGCCAACTGAAGGCCCTGGCCTTTCTACCTGACTGACTCTGTCCACTTTTCTCACTCAGAGAGCCCCCCTCCTTCCCTTCTCCTCTGGATCCCTGTGGGGGCCACTGCCTATGTTTATGAAAACTGAACATGTCATTCAAACCAGCACCTCTGGCCTCCCAACACCGGAGATCAGCGGCTACTGTTTTCCCTCTCTGTCACTGGACTCTGCGAGTGAAGGCTGGTCTCCCCGTGGCTGTTCCCAGAACCTCACAGACGGTAATGAGTCCGGGGTTGGTGTTAAGCTCAGATGTCAAACAGAGTGGCCAGGGCCTCCCGAAACGCCAAGAGAGCCCCGAGCTTCTCCCTCTACAAGGTCAGCTTGTGCGTAACACTTCATTAAATTGCTCAAACACTGAGCCGTGTCTTTAACCAATACCTTTAATGTCATTTTCTGCAGACTTAATAGAGAGGCATTAGCATACCTGTCAAGTCTTCCCATTTCAACTCGGAAGCCAGTGAAGTTTAAAGTGCCTCCCTCATCCCACAGTGGATTTAGCTTCAAACTTGGGTTTAAGAAAAAGAAAAGAAAAGAAAAAAAAAAAAGGAGGAGTTGGGGGAATCCTCTGTGGGGCTGTGTGACGGAGTAGGGGATAGTGTCTCTGTCTTGGTTTTCTTCTAAGCCTGTCTACTGCCTCCAGGAAGTATATCTGGGTTAAGAGCTAAGGAAGGCAAGCCTAGGCATTGACTAGGCATTGACTAGATGACAGTGGCTCAGTCTCCTGCTCCCAACTGTGTGCTGCACAGAATGGAATCTGTAAGTTAGTTTAGGAGGAGACAAAGACCAAATCGAGAGGATGTTACGACTCCCATCACTCATGTGGGCATCTAGTTCTTAAAGTGATGGTGTTCCAAGTGGGCTGTAGTGGATATTGCCTGTAAAGTAATGAATAGCAATGCTATAATCCACAGACCCAGAGAAGCTAGGCAGCAAGGGAGCCTCAAGTGGGGACTCATGGATCTCCTTGGGAAGGGGAAATTGAATAGACATCACGAGTGGACTGGGGGAAGGCAGGGACGGGAAAAGGAGGGATCAGGCTGGGGAAGGATGGAGGGAGAGAGTACTAAGAAAGGCGACTGGAATTGGGGGACATTTTGGGGTCAAGGTAGAAGCCTAGTACAATGGAAACTCCCAGGAATCTACAGGAGTGACCCTAGCTAAGACTTCTAGTAATATGGAATACAGAGCCTGAACCAGCCATCTCCTGTAGCCAGGCAAGACTTCCAATGGAGGGACTGGGACGCCAATCCAGCCACAAAATCTTTGACCTACAATTTGTTCTATCTGCAAGATGTGCTGGGGCAAAGGTGGTGCAGAAATTGTGGGAGTGGCCAACTAATGACTGGTCCACCTTGAGACCCATGCCACAAGAGGGAGCCCATGCCTGACACTGCCTGGAGGGCCAGGAGCTAGAGTTTGATAGCCCAGAGACGTAGGATAGAACCAAGCATGACTGGCAAAAAAAGAAAAAGAAAAAGTCAACAAAATGATTCCTAGTGATATTCTGCTATACTCATAGATCGGTGCCTAGCCCAATTGTCATCAGAAAGGCTTCACTCAGCAACTGATGGAAACAGATGCAGAGACCCACAGCCAAATTAGGTGTAGCTCAGGGAATCCTGCAGAAGAGGAGGAGAAAGGATTGTAGGAGCCAGAGGGGTCAAAGCCACTAAGAAAAGGGCCCACAGAATCAACTAACCAGGGCTCATAGGGACTCATAGAGATTGAAGTGACAATCAGGGAGCCTGCACGGTCTGACCTAGGCCCTCAGCACATATGTTATGGTTGCGTAGCTTGATGTTCTTGTGGGGCTCCTAACAGTGGGAACGGGGGGTGGGGGGTGGGGGGTGGGTGGGCATCTCTGACTCTTGCCAGCTTTTGAGACCCTTTTTCTCCTACTGGGTTGCCTCATCCAGCCTTAATATGAGGGGAAGTGCCAAGTCTCATTGCAACTTAATATACCATGTTTGGTTGATATCCCTGGGAGGCCTGCCCTTTTCTAAAGTGAAAGGGAAGAGGAGTGATCTGGGGAGAGAGGGAGGTGGGGGGAGGGATTGGGAGAAGAGGAGGGACGGGAAATTGCAGTCTGGGTGTAATATATGAGAGAACTAAAAAAAAAAGAAGTGGGCTGTTGGACAGTGTTGTGTTTGGATGTGAAATGTCCCTACAAGCTCATGTGTCTGAACACTTGGTCCCAGTTGGTGACATTGCTTTGGAAGTCTGTGGAACCTTTAGGAGGCAGAACTTTGCTGGAAACTGTGAGTCACTGGGGGCAGGCCTTGAGGCTTTATAGCCTGGTCCCACTTCCAGTCTACTCTCTGTTCCTTTGAGTTAGTGTGTGTGTGTGTGTGTGTGTGTGTGTGTGTTCCTGTGTGTCAGTGCCAACATGCTATGGTGTGGAGGTCAGAGAACAAAGTTGGCCATTGGTGCTAGCTTTGTCCCTTGTTTGAGGCAGGCTCTCCTGACATCTAACACTGCATACACCATGTGAGTGGGCCCACATGCTTCTGGCTAGTCTTCTTTTTCTTCCAAACCACCTTCTGGTAAGGGCATGCCTGAATTACTCACACATTCATTAGTGCATCCAGCTTTTAAGTGAGTTATTGGGGTCCAAATTCAGGGCATCAGGCTTGCAGATCAAATGCTTCCCTCACTAAGCCATTCTCAAGTCCTGCTCCCCACTTTTGGACTGTGGAGACAGTGTAACAAGCTGCCTTACACTCCCATCCCACACCTTCCCTGCCATGATGGACCGGATCCCCTCAAACTGTGAGCTCAAATAAACTATTTCCCTAAAATTGCTTCTTCTTGCATATTTGGTCACAGCAATGGAAAACAGTCGCTACTACAAACAGGCGGCTTCTAAGCAGCTAATGTTGCCCATAGTTCTGGAAGCTGGGAAGAGAAGATGAAGGCATTGATAGGTTTGGTGTCTGAAGAAGGCCTGCCACCTTGTTCATAGAAGGCATTGTCTGTGCCTCACCCAGAGGAAGCGTGAGCTAGCTCTTTGTGGTCTCTTTAATAAGGACACCAAACCCAATCACAAGGGTTTCAACCTCATTACTTGTTACCCACAAAGGTCCATTTCTCCACACCTTCAGTGATTAGGATTTTAGCATATGCCTTTTGGAGAGATACAAGCACTCAGATTCTGACAGAATGGTTTATGAGGAACAAGGTGATTCTCATCTGTTGGGAGCAAATAGAGACCATCTGCTCACTCCATGATCTGTTGCCAGAGAGGGAAAGCCCAGACCTCTGCACTCCAGGACCATGAACAGGTCTTGAAACAGCATTGGCTCGTCCCATCTGTGGAATGGGCTCAACTTGAGCAGAAGGTCAGTGCCCACGGAGCTCCCAGTAGCATGAGCTTTGCATATGCAGCAGGAACAAATGGGAGGGTGTAGGGAAAGAGGGGGACGAATGTGCTTCTGTCATTAATCCACTAATCGTTAATTATCCCCCTAGACATCATATAATGTGCTACCCAGGCAAAAATAAAATTGCTTGAACTTTCCCACCAAGTTCTGGTTTTAAACAAATTACTCGCGTCAAAACTATTTACCAAAGTGAGTAATTTTAGACATTCATCAGACTTCATAACATTCCTTAATTAGCACCCGCTAATAAAGTCCTCGTGTAATTAAGCACACATGCATCCTTGTTGTTTCTTTATTTTACATTTTTGCTCATGATGATTTATTTTGAAATGACTTGATATGCAGTTTCCAGAACCCATGCACGGACACGAAGGTGTGTGCCTTTGTGTGCCTGTTGCCAATGTCACTCTGTAGCGAGACATCATGCAATTAAAGCAGCAACTTAAATATTAATGTCACAATTAAAGAAAGGAGGAAGAGTTTTTCTCCCCCAAAGTGGAAAGTTGACCCCTGGTTCCAAAGGCAAGGGGAACAGGTGCACACTAGTGCTCTCGTCCTCTGGGTCCCAGGAGGGCAGATCAGGCAGTGTGACTTGTGCCTAAATGCCCTTAGGGAGCAAGCAGGTCTTATAAGGAGGTGGCTGGCTTCCCTGACATGCTCCTCCTGAGAGGCTCCAGAGTGATAGTGGCAGCAATGACAGTTCCCTCCCAGCTCAGAAACCTGCCACTGGAAGATCAGCATTTTGACTATCCCCTGCCCCTCAAGAAAAAAAAAAATAGAAGGACACCTTAATTTACCCTCCTGATTGGCTTGATAGCCATCAGAGTGACAGCCTGTCTTCAGCAGAAAGAGACCTGCAGTTAGATTCCCAGGCTGGTATTGCGTGCTTTATGCTGTCTCTTTGCTCCCAGATTTAAAGTAGCTCTACTGTACCCCAAATTCTGCTGTCCCCACCTATTACCTCCCTAATCACTGACCACATGATCAGGGTACCCCAGGGCTAAACCAGCCATATTTCTATCTTAAAGCTGGTGTCCCTGGTATCTCTTTCCGCACTCTTAGTGTGGCCAATGGATGTCTCAGGACACAGACAGATCATCAGCACAGGGGAATTAAACTAGGTTAGTCCTTGTCCCGTGTGTTTAGCAGGAGCTATCAACAGCTCAGATGCCTTCACAGGCTGACTGTTGTCCTGCCCAGAGTCTAAGACTTACCTTCCATGTAAGACTGTGTGGTTCTTGGTCGCTTCTCTCAGAAAATGGATTTGGCTATTTGCAATATGGTTACAACAGCATCATCCAAGAAGCTTTCTTCCCCCCAAGGCCTAATATATTCTGTAGGCTTTATAAATCCATGCTCATTTTACATAACATAAAAGGCCCCAGGCCCCTTAAGATGCCTCCACATTCAAACATGCTTTCCTACCTCTCTAAGAAGCCCTCACATAGGACTGTCTATCTTCAGATTGTACTGGGGTTTATAATTTGCATTTTTAAACCAGTATTCTAAGAATATTACAGCACACATCTGCCTTTGTAATGTCCACATTGCCCTCCACAAGCATTGACTGCCTCTCTAGGGTATAGAATATGTTCACTGTCCCCACACATCTCATCTAACTTAGAGCTAGGCACCAGCCACATGGCTACTCAGTGCCTGATGTGGTAGTCCATACAGAATTGAATGGTGCCTATGAGACACCAAAGACCTTTTATACATAGAATTTAAGGCCTCCATACACTGCATGTTGAGAGGATACTGTTCTGTTCATGTTGGGTTACATAAAATTGATTGTTTAACTTGTTTCTTTTCATTTTTTGTTGTTGGCAAAGTAGCTTAATTGGAATTAATGTAAGAAAAGTACACAATGAATAGGAATAAAGCAGACAATGAGGCCCCAGAGGAGGCTGGGAGAAGAGTGACAAGCTGTGGACA